CATGAAAATTAAATTTTAATTCCATTCCGACTTATGGAGGATAAACAACTTTTAAACTTTAAAACATTATTTAAATAATGCAATAAAAAGAAAGGCAAACCTAAATGCTAGAAGTCTTCACTCTATTCCAAAATAAAATAAATTTTATTTTGGAATAGAGTGAAGACTTCTAATACAAAAGACATAGTATACAATTTTACTAAGCTATGAATAATTAATAAAATTTTGTTGTAAAATAACAATATATTAAGTTGCATCCATGTTATTAATGACAATAACAAAGCTACATTTTCATGTTATCACTCAATGCATAAGTATTTACCAAGATTCAATAATACTTTTTGATTGATTAATAGCAAGTATACAAGAAACACTATAACTTTATAATGTTGAGTAAATATTATCAAGATATAGATATAATACTTTTGGACAAAGCATGAAAATTTCTTTAACCTGATAAATTTCTGATACTTTGACATTATTGACATTAAGATAGATTTTAATCCTGTAATATTGACTGTTAAATTCATCTGCCTACAAATCCATTTTATAATAACTGTTTACACAGCACAGGAATCTATTGTATGTGGCATGCATATTGTATAAATTGCAGCTACAACTGTCATTTTGATATATTTTAATAATGAATGGAATAAAAGATTACACATTAATGTTATCTTTTGTTGTTGCTGCTGACACTGTGAACACTTTATATGCAATAAATGAACATTTCACTTCCTAAAACAGTAAATATTTTATTCTTATGATATTTAACATAAATCATAACAGTACATTTAGGAAGGAAGTGTCATTCATTTCTGAGATCTCAAATTATGTATAGAATGGTACCTTGTACTTCAAACAACTCTAACTTCAAATGATTCAAAGTTCGAACAGCCTCCTGGAATGAATTAAATTTGAAATACGAGTCACCACTGTGTTTCTAGAAAAAAGATTGCTTTGAGACTTGATGTAAAAACAAATCTAAATAATATTTATTTATTCAACATGATGAAGTGTAACAGGTAACAAGAGAGAAATAAAGAATATAAAAAATGCCTAGTAACGTGTGAAAATTACACTTCATCATGTTGAATAAATAAATAAGAAGACAGACAGGGCTTCATATTAAGATAAATCATCTTTGTTATCGTTACATTTATACAAAAATGGAAATTAAAAAATAGTATATAAAGTACATTTCTAAAAAATGTTGACCTTGACCTAATTTTCGGAGGTCAAACATTTGACATTTTTATTCTAGACTATAAGGAAAAAATTAAAATAAAAAATTATTAGAACTAGGTTAATTATATATGATGTAATATTGTTTGTCAAAAATAGATTTTCAAATTATCTTCTTCAGCTATGCATTGTTATATAAGTTTCATTTCCTTTCAATTTAATATGTAAGGGAAATCAAAGTTTCTGTTCAAGCAAAACAAAGCAATAAATCGGTAAGCAATGCAAAAACTAAAAAAATTTGATATTTTTTAGTGTGCATTGCTTATTGATCACCTTAGACATTAAAGCACTTTCCAACTGTTTGATAAAATCAAAGATATTCTATTAAAATGCTCGTGATTTTGGCATAAAGTATTGCATACATGATCAGATGGGACTTGTTCAAGCAACATAGGAAATATATTGATTGGCACTTATTTACAACATAAATGGAAGGAATGAACCAGTCCTAATGGCACCTCTGGAAATTTCTCAATGGTCCCATCCACCCTTAATCCGAATATTCAACCTTTCATCACTCTCTTTGGAAGTCATATGGCAAATGGCCTAGACCATAAGAAGTATCAATGTTTTCCATTGCAAATGATATGGCTTCTCCTGTACCACATGGAGCAACATGAGGATGTACTTTCTTATGCAACAAAATAATACCAGAGCTCAGTTTTTTGGGTTGCTTAGCTTTTTAATGGCAGCACACAGATGATTTAAAGTGATAAAGTAGTTCTGTGCATTTATGCTCTGAAAACTGCTTTACAGTAGACTTGGATGCTATGGTTATATGCATAGACATTTTGGATCACTGTTATTGCATTTAAACTTGCTGTATTATAGCCACTGGTGTAGTGGTAACAAGGCTATTCATACCATTGCACCAGATCTTTTTCAAGGGCAAGTAGCATATAAAATTACAAAAATTAGCTAAGTTTAATATTTCCAACTAAATTTAACTATGTATAGTGTCACTGCCAACAGTAAATGGTTTGTTTACTTTTGTTCAAACTTCTAATACTAAAAACACATTTTTTACCAAAAAAGGGCAAACTCCTCTAAATACTGAGGCTTAACTGACACAATGCATTAAACCTGTTAATACATGTCTGTTTTGAAAATGGCTGCCTCTATTTATTATTATTTAAGATCAAATCATCAACTCATCAAATATTTAATGAACTGTTAAGATTCTTAACTTAAGAACAAATTCACTTATGAATTTTAGTAACTAGTAACTTTTATAAACTTACAAAATTTTACAAAACTAATGAAAATTATCTTAGTGGAGCATTTCTGCATCAAAAGATCTTTGCCCTGCATACCCCGCTTTTAATACCTCATAAACTCATTACCCACACTGGCATATTTTTGTTTAGGACTACATTCCAAATTATAGCTAACACAAGGCCAATCTAAGCAATGTTCTTTAATCATTGGGACTGCAACATCACAAACAGAAATCCTCCAAATACATTTAGATAATTGCAATTCTATTCTGTCATTAATATTGTGGCAAAAAGAAAATGAATTGATTTGATTGTTTCTTATAATTTTGGACAATCGAGACTATTGTACAATGTTTAAAAAATCTACACATGAGCTATATTGACAATGCACTTCTCATAGAAATCAGATCAGATGATCTTTTTTGGTAATGTTCATTCTTAATTAGATGTCTTACTGCAATTTTAACTATTAAAGATATTGTTTAAGTATTTATGAACTTTACCTCTGTCTTACTTCATGCTTCAGATTCTTGCATATATTAAAATTTTTATTAATTTTGAAGATGAGATTTAATTCTTGAAACTATTAACAAAGAATAAAAGTTTAAAACTACTAGAAGAAGGCAGTTAGTTACATTTAAGATTCAAGATCATTTCAAAGTATTTTATAATATTTTATAACTTAGCAAAAAATGGATCACACTATTTAAAATATTTTATTCTTTGCAGATTTACATCTACATGTAATGAAATTACAAACATTACTGCAAAAAACTTTTTACCGACAGCTATGGAGTTAGAAAAATCAGTTTGCATGTGTGATCAGTCATGTGTCATAACGAGAAAAGAGGAAAATCTGCCATACCTAACTACTTCCACAGGAGATATTGTTTTCAATCTGACAGACATAGATGTAAATAAATATTTATTGAATACGTATATGGCCTTTATCGAGAAAAGGTAAATCATCATCTTTGTTAAAAAAAATTTTTATATCAATATTATAAAATGACAAAAACTTAATTTTGAGAATAGTGACGTAGTAGTCCATTGCATTATAAAATAATTCGCATTTTCTAGATTGATTTTTGAGTCATAAACAGAGTTAAAATTATTATTTTATTGAAGACTTTGCCAGAATTTCTAGAAAAGGGCATTTAAAGTAACCTAAATTAATCAGATCGGTAATTTTATATCTTTAACGTATTTGTAGCAATTTATTTCCGATTTTTCTTTTTAATTCTGTATTTAACAAAAATTTCTTTTTGGAAATGTTTGTTAATCGAGAGAATAGTTTAAAACAAAAACGAGTTTTAATGCAGAACAACTTTTCATTTCTTTAAGATATTTAAAATGTGTAAAACTTAATATTAGATTTAAAAAATATATCAATAAAAAAATAATATATTTGAAGAAATCAGTTAACCTTATTTTATGTGTATAACAAGGATGTTATACCAAGATGTGTATACCAAGGATTTTATGTGCATACCAAGCACGAAACCACTGCTATTTTAATCCCATTCTGAGCAACGTGTTGATAATTAGAACGTATCTTCACTTCTTACAGAGACAACAATATCGATTTGTCTAAATTTTTAATAATTGCATATGTAATTATTGTGTATTAAAAATTCCTTTAAAAACAGAAAAACACAATGGTAATAAGTTATGTTGATTTAATTGAGTGCTTTCTGTTAGCGCTCCATTTAAAACATCATCAAGATTAAAAAGTTACAAACTAATTCATAAAAAATTAAGAAACAAACTTTAAACATCATTACTTTTTCACTGATCGCTTCTCGGATTGTTTTAAGTCAAAATAAATAAACAAAATAAAATTTTTAAGTACAATTTCTATATTTAAAACCACATAAGAAAAAGTTTCTTTTCTCTNATATTAATTAAGACATGTTTTAACTGAAATTTTAATATTATAGATATGGTGGGTGGACATTTTCTAATGTGAAAAATAATACAGAGATCAAGATATGGTATGAAAACACGGGATATCATTCAGCTCCATCTTATTTAAATTCGATAAGCAATGCCATTCTCAGAGCAAATATGAAATTGAAAGGAGCAGATCCATCACAATATGGTAATTTGAAAATTATTCTATATACAGGATTACATTTTCATGTTGAAGTTAAGACCATCTACAAGAATATACATTTTTGAGTCTTTTCTTTATCCATTAACACAACCACAGAAGTAACAGTTAAAATGGCTTGAAAAAACTTCATTAAAAAGACAAATAATAGATAAAACTTCACAAGTTAAAAACAATATCAATGACAATCAACAATAAATCACTATGTATAGGACTTGCAAATATTCTATGTAGAGTATAAAATAAATTGTACCCAGTTACTTAATTTAAATGAAATTGTTTTGCAGGAATCACAATTTATAATCATCCTATTCATCTAACTTCTGAACAACTGGGACGAGATACAATGTAAGTTAAAATAACTTTTGCTCAATGTAATTAATATCTTTGTATTACTATATTAAATAATTTTTTACAGTGTACAGAGGGCTGCAGAAATTGGTATAGCATTAGTCTTTCTATTAGGATTTGCTTTTGTACCATCGAGTTTTATAGTTTATGTAGTCAGAGAAAGAACACAAGAAGAAAAGAGATTACAGTATGTAGGTGGTGTAGGACCATTACTGTATTGGTCATCGGCTCTTCTTTGGGATATGTTGCTCGTAATTATTACAGTATTGCTTTCTGCCGCAATAATAGCAAGCTTTTCATTACCAGTTTATGTTTCACGTCTCAATTTACCAGCTGTTCTATTATTACTATTGCTTTTTGGGTAAGTTTGATGAAATTACAAATATATCAAATATATTTTAAAATTATTAAGATATTTTTTTATTTTTATAGCTGGGCAACTACACCCTTAATGTACTTGCTTGAAAAATTGTTTCAAGAAGCTAGTATTGCCTTCATGGTCTTGTATTGCATCAATATTTTTATTGGATTGAACATTATGGTGGCTCTTTTAGTTCTTAGTCTCTTCAGCAAGGTCAGTGTACATTTTTTTAATTTAATGTACTATTAAAATGCAAAAAATAATAATTTAAATGCTTTAATTGTTTATTTTATTCCATATTTATAGTTAAACCATTGCATTATAGTGACTAATGTAAACTTTTCTAAGACAGAATAAAGACATTTTATGTCTATTGCTGTCATATGTCAAATATTGGTTCCATATCATATCTAATTCCTTTTTAATCAAACATAAAAGAAGAAAACAAAGTTTTATATCATGAATTTTTTACAGCTGGTAGTAAAACCAGCTGTAAAAAAAAAACATTATAAAGATACTAATTTAGTATTTGTTTGTCTTTTAAGGAAACCACTCATCTAGTGAATATCTTAAAATATTTTGCCATGATGTTCCCTCAATATACCGTTGTTGGTGGATTATTTGAATTGGCACGAAATCACTTACAAGCTGACATATTTTCCATGTTTGGACAAGACACATATAAAAATCCATTTAGTATGGATTTATTGGGACAATACTATATTGCTATGGCACTAGAAGGAATAATTTTCTTTGTTATAAATTTATTACTTGAATATCAATGGAAGAAGAAATTTTCAAGAGTGTAAGTTTGTTTCTTAATGTTTATTACTATTTATTTTTCATTTTTTAATGAAAGTGATGCTGCTCATTTAGATCAAAACGTCCTTCAAGAAGTTCAAGTATTATAGAAGATAGTGATGTTTTAGAAGAGAGAAAAAGAGTTCAAAGTGATGTTAGCAAACATGACATTCTAAAATTAGTTGATGTAACACAGGTAATTTATTTTGTAGTGATTATTGTAATTAAAACTTGAGCATTCTGTTTGAAAAAATTTACTAATTTTATGGTGGGCATTCTGCTTGAAAATGCTTGATAAAGCATACATGTAATTCTTAAAGTTGAATATTATACAAATTTTAAAATTGAATAGTAAAATATAAATAAGAAAATAAGAAGGGATTAAATTGAAATTGAAGAAGAAAAATAGTAAAGCTACATTTAGTGATTTTTATGGTCATTGAAGTATTCAATTATTGGGTTTAATGCAGACATAAATACAAAAGTCATATTTTAATTTATACAAAAGTTAGATAAAATCAGTTTGTTAATATATCTATACACTTAATTTCAAATACTATCTCAAGTACATTTTAGCTAAAAATGATGTTTAAGTAAGATTATACCTCTATATCAATTATTTGCAATGTGTAAAATACTTTTCTAACTTGTAAGATTGAAAGTTTAAAAAGTAGTTCATTTATGGTATATGAAACAACATAATGTATTGCTTCATATGCCATATTTACAAAGAGAATCTAATAAAGAAGATAAAAAGGAAACTTATGATACTTTAGATAAACAAATATTTTCACTTGTTGCAATCTATAAATCATATTTGATGGAATTCTAATGAACATTTTGTTATGATTTTCAGTATATTGCTGTTGAATTATTTGAATTGACATAAAATTATTTACAAGTCTATATGTTGCTATATATTCAAACAAGATACATATAAAAATCCACTTAATATGGATTTATTGAGCTTACATTACTATATATATATTGCAGTGGTAAATTCAGTAGACATTTTTAAAAAGTCTTGTAAAAACTTACAGATCAGAAAAGTTAGTATTAAACAATAAATTAATTTTATTAGAAGCATTGATTTAGATATGTTTTTTCTCATAGTAGTTAAGAAACAAAAATTTAATAACATTCATCCATAACTTAACAAAATATATATGTACTGATAAACTATCATCAATCATAAATGGGAGATCTACTATTTTTTTTGTTAATTCCATTATTCCTAATTGCTTTCAATTAATGAATGGATCTAAATTTAATCTTCAAAATTTTCATGTTTCAAAGATTTCCTTTGAAACATGAAAATTTCGGAAAAGAAACTCTGGAAAGCATCTCGAATTAGTTCAAATTATAATGATTTATTATTTAATTTAATTAATTCCATTGAACATTTTTATGTAAAGTTAATTACTCCACTAAACTTCTTCAGCTCTATCTTGTAGCAGCTATTTTAACTTTACAAACAAATCAAATTCTTATCAGTTGTGCTATATAAAGTAGATTAATAATAATATAATAAATCTTTTACTTTATAATTTAAATAAAAAATTATTATAATAATAATAATTTTATTATTAATATAGATATTTAGAAATATGACAGGCCAAAACTGTGCTGTGGATAATCTTAGTCTATCCATTCCAAAAGGAGAGGTAAGTCAAATTAAATTGTTTCCATAGAAATTTAACTGCATTCATATCAGTTGGTTTTATTTTTACAATATAAGAATTTTGAAAAGTTTTAATAAATCATGTTATACATGCTTCATTCAAAAGTAATGTAGCAAGATGATTTAGCATAAAAAATATAAAACTTGTAGACATGCCTGATGCTGCCTAAGCAAAAAGTAACAACAAACATTAAAATGAAAACCATATTATGGTTATTTTAGCCTATCATTGTCATGTTTATCGCAATACTTGGATGATATGGAATGATACAATTTTATTACTTAGGTTAACAGAAATTAATGTTTTTCAATAAAGTACTTGTTGACTTCTGCTTGCATGAGAAGATAATTCAAGATATCCTAACTTTTTCTAATGTTAACTCTAATGTACCATTCACAGCCAAATATGAAATGGTAATTGGCCAACCAATCAAATTTTACAAAAGATTGACCAAATATTTAAACTCAGCATTCTGACAACGTATTTTGTGTTTGCTGGTAACTTGGTATTCGAACAGGAAAATTACTTAATACAATAATCCTAGTGATCAGGATAGAAAGGGGAACATGTTGCAGGCAAAGGGTAGACGTTAATTCAATCAAAGCCAGTTGTTGACTTTCTCCTAGATGAGACGATACAGATTTGTCTTCTTTATAAAAAAAAATCTAGCAATGAGTTGTGTAACTTTCCTGGTTTTTGAGATTTATTTTGAAAATAACATTTGTATTATTAATCAAAATAAGTAAAATGGAATGTGATGCCATCTGTTATGAGATTTTGTTATAAAAACTTTTGCTATGTTGTAATAATTAAAAATATATAAAGACTTAATTTTGAGAGTAGAGTGAGTTTTATAAAACACTGTAAATGCTAACAGCAAGCAAAATCTTTATTAAGTTTGACCCTTTGCAAGATATGACATGTGACCACCCTCTATCTCTTCATCACAACCAAAATTTAATAAAATCAATGACCTTTATATACAAGCTACCAAGCCAAATTTTGTTTCTTTCTTTATCTTCACCCTGTTCTGAGAGATTAAGTGCTAAACTGCTTTAGAAAAAGTTAAAACTGGTTTTATTCCTCACTTAGTGCTAGGTTAAATGCTATCAAAATATTTAGGCACTAAAATACCAAAAATATGCTAAAACACATTCAATTTCTAATTTATAATAGAACACAGTTACGAATATATAAGCTGGAAAATAGGAAAAATCCTATTTATATTTGAATAGTTTTTCTATTTTCTCTTGACTTATTATAAGTATTAAAATAATATGAGAGTCACTAATAGCTCAACAGTAACCACAGAAAATTTTTTACTAAGAAACTTGATAATTTCATTAAAGAATGAATAAAAAAATTTCTGTAGTATAAGAAACATAAGTACAATAGTAAATGATATTAAACTGTATAATTTAATTATTATATGTATCTCATTATATTTAATTTGCTTAATTTGTTATATTGATAATTATAAATACACAATTTAAAAAATTTTTAATATTTCTAGTGTTTTGGTTTATTGGGAGTGAACGGAGCAGGTAAAACAACCCTCTTCCGAATTTTAACTGGTCAGTTAAGGCCTACAATGGGAAATGTATACGTTAAGAATATGAGGTAAGTCTTTGCCTATCAGTAATATATTCTAAGAAGATCAGATTTAAATACAAAAAATTCCATATATTTCAGTGTTTCTAAAGTTCTTTCTACAAGTAGTCAATTATTAGGATATTGTCCCCAAGCGGATGCACTAGATGATTTACTAACTCCAGAACAGCATCTTTTTGTTTATGCCAAATTGAGGGGTATTCCGAGCCAGGAAATAAAAGAAGTAAATACTTTAAAACAAATAAATAATAAACAAAATTTTTTCAATATATTTAAATTCACTTTTTTTTACAGATAATTTATCGTGCCTTATCGAAATTTCATTTAAAAATGTATGCCGATCGCAGGGTGGGTACTCTAAGTAGAGGAACCAAAAGAAAAGTCTGTACAGCAATTTCCATGCTTGGAAATCCACAGATTATTTTATTAGTAAGTACTTTTCAATTTTTTCAGAGCATTGATACACTTTTAACTGAGAGTAAACTCATTTGTACAGTACATTCATATGTACTGTAAGCAATCTCCAGTTCATACTAATTAATTTCTAAACACTCAAACAGCTAGAAAATTGAATTTTACATTTTCATTTATTATTTTTGTTTTATCATACACATCCAAAATGTTTTTATTTTCTGTAGTGATTCTTTGTTTGCATTAAACATGTGACAAATAACAGACATCAAAGTCATTATTATTATTATTTAAAATCAAATTTACAGAAAAAACAATATTAATTTCTTCTGAAGCCATCTTAGTTGCATATTATAGCCTTAATTTAAGTGCAGATGTTAATGAACTATTTGAAAAATGTAAACAAAATACAAAAAAATAAAGATAAATTAAAAATATAATTTATGTATTTTCTTATTTTGGTAATTTTGGTTGACTTAATACTTTAATNAATATGCACAATCACCCAAAGATTTCTTGATATAAAAGTGGGAACAATTTAATAAACGTGTATATAAAGCGATGATCTGTAATATTATATTTAATAAAATGTTTTAACAATTCAACAATTTCCAAAAAGAAAAAAAACATCTGTCTAATTAAGAATTACAGTTCATTAAACTGACCTTTAAAAATTAATAGAAAATGCCTACAGATAAAAGTTTCTAGTTTAACAAATGATTATTCTAATTTAGTACTGTGAATTTTTTAACAATTTTGCTTTTTTTTATTTTTTCTTACGCTGTAAATAATTTTTTAAATGGTACATATGGCTGCATGTATTCGAGTATACTGTTACCAGAAGTTTAGCATCTAAAAGAAAGAAAAACATTTAGAAATTGAACTCTAAAATTTTCTAAATGACGTTTGCAATGTTTAAATGAGTATGTCTAGATTTAACTAAATTATACAAAATTTTTTGTTTGCTTAGGACGAACCCACAACCGGTATGGATCCTGTGACGCGACGTTTAGTTTGGACCAACGTTCAACAAGCCATTAAAGATCAAAGATCAGTAGTTCTTACTTCTCATAGGTAAGATATAATTTAAAAGAGTTTTCAAATGTAATATTGTTTAGTTTAAAATTAATTTTCACAAATTACACAAATATAGTGGAGGCTTTTGTTCATGGATTTTAGTTCCTTTTAAAGCAATTTATTTTGCCATATGTTATTTAGTAATAATTCAGATTGTAATTCATACAGAAAAATTCTATTTTATTGTTGATTATAGTGAATAATTTTCATTCTAGACATCAACTATAATATAATACTACACAAAAAGATGTATTCTACATTTTGTAAATCCTAATCTAAATATATAAAATTGCTTGTCCTGACTGACTCATTCATTCATTCACTGATTCATCATCGCCCAGAGCAAACCGCTTAACCTAAAGAGGTGAAATTTGGTACACAGTTAGGGTACGTCATGGAAACGCACACTAAGAAAGGATTTTTCGAAATTCCAACGCGGGGGGGNCAATGTCAATAATAATAATAAATAAATAAATCTGGTAATTCAGTATTAATCCCTAACAGATTACCAAAGTAGTCCATATCAACTCTGACTAATTTTCAATTCCAAAGGGTTGATATGGACCACTTTGTAAATCCATTTTAAACTAATATACAATGTGAGAATATTTATTATATTTACGGTATAAATATACGAAAAATGTAAATGCATTTAATAATAAATAAAAATACTTAATATAAATAATACCCATAAAAATAATAATTACAAATAATAAAATTACTTATCAACAGATTAAATCATAAATAAATATCATAAAATTTAACATGGATAATATTTCAAATTTATATTAAATATTATCAAATAATAGAACTTCCTAAATTGTTCATAATATTTTTATTGATTAAACTGTTAATGAAATTTCAGTATGGAAGAGTGCGATATATTATGTTCAAGATTAGCGATCATGGTAAACGGAAGACTGCAGTGTCTGGGATCGCCTCAGTATCTCAAATACAAGTTAGTTTTTGTATTTAATTAAATCTTTTATTATTATTAATGCCATACAAATAATGGTTAATGGAGAATACAGTAACTTTTCTTCATTTTAAGTAAAATTATGAAATACAAAAACTTGTGATTGGTGAAAATTTATATTGTAATACAACATATTCATTTGGATCCACATGAACTAAAGAATAACTCATAAAATTATCTGAAAATTAATTTATGCCCTTTTTGGTACTTACAAGTTACATAACTGTCTTTAAAAGTCATTATAATTTACTTAATGGGGGTTAGTAGTTGAAAGTTGTTACTCACAAGATGATTTAAGATGATGTTTCAATTATAATTAAATTACTACCATGCCAGACATTACATACATCAATTTTATAAAATAAAATTAGATGATCTGATTCATTATTTTTGAAAAATATTTATACATTAGGTTCGGAACAGGGTACACAATTAGCATACGAGTAGCGGACGGTGTTACCGATTGGGGCGTAATTGTCAATTTTATCCACGTGAATTTTCCTTCTGCAATTCTCAGGGTAAGTTATATTATTATTATTGATTTTGGACGCATCCCATGATTAATTATGCTTTTATTACAATTACAATTAGGCTCATCACTGCAACATGGTCGAGTTTAGTTTACCTTCTAAGAATATACCACTATCGGAAATATTCGGAAATCTGGAAAAGCATAGTGACAAATTAGGTATACTCGACGTTTCAGTTAGCCAAACGACACTAGATCAAGTAAGTTTTATTTAATAAATTAAAAAAACGATATTGTTTTCAAATAATATTAACAATGCATTATTTTTCTAGGTGTTCGTTAGTTTTGCTAGACAGCAGACAGACGAAATTTTGTTCGACGACGTGCCATTAGACATAAAAACCACCGACGAAATGTTGCCTTCGTCATACGACAATCTCGTGTACGATAAATTAAAACAAATGAACAGCACTCTAGAATCAAACGCGTTCACCAATAAAGGATTCGTAGAAGACGAATTAAAATTAGCCTCGTTAAACAGTTCTTGTAGAAACAGTTCTGTTTTCAGTATGTACGAATACGACGAAGACACACAAACTACAAAGTTCTAAACCAAAAAAAAGGACTGAGGTATTTATATAAATAAATTTATCAAGTACAATATCCTTTTACACCGGAGAATAAACAGGACACGTGACAAAATTGGGGTTCTTATAATCTTTTATCTCAATTTTCTTTTTGTACTTCGAATTTGAAGAATAAATTATTTAAACTTTTCACTAATAATGTAAACATTCCAACAATTTGTCGTTTTTCCTTAATACACAATAAAGCTGCTTCTGTAAGTGGCATTTATTGTTACCATTTGTTATAACGAAGTGGCGCGTTATCCTATGGAAAAAGGGGCAATTGTCTGGGGCCCCCCACTAGCAGAGGGGTCCCAAACCAATATTTTACAAGAAAATATTTCATCTCCCAAAAAGTCTGAAGTCAAAACTGCACGTGAGGCCCCCTAATTCACTGTGCCCCGTGAAGCTATAACGCGCTACTGTTATAACAATTAAGGGAAGATAATTGCTCTATTATTATTATATTTTGTAAATGTAAAATTGTGCCATCTAGTTTTATTTAATTAAGAAGAATGATCAAATTCTTTGTTCTACTAATCATTTACTTTTCTAATTGGAATTATTATTATTATTGTCGATATTATTGTCTGTGACACGGCGCAAGAGATACACAGAATGGACTTTTTACGTATTGTAATTTAATGATTTAATGCTTATGAAATTCGAATATGCACAATCACCCAAAGATTTCTTGATATAAAAGTGGGAACAATTTAATAAACGTGTATATAAAGCGATGATCTGTAATATTATATTTAATAAAAAGATTGTTTCATTTAATGTAATTGTTAATAATTTATTTATATAATAGACACTTTGGCGTACACGTAAAGGTCAAATGTGATTCTAATTCGAATACATTATACTAAAGTATCCCAGAATAAGAATAGAATCGATTTCTAAACTTGACTAAAAGGCCCAGTTGATGCCCCCAGAGCGAAAAGTGTCAAAAAGTGAGGTTTTTAGCAATTTTACGGTGGTCCCGGCATCTGAAATATCAGTTCTTTATACTGTATTTAACGCGACGATGGATAGTTTATATTAAAATGATCAAAAAATTAAATCAGGAGCGGCAGAACAGAAGTGGACACACGTCTAGGATACATTTAATAAATAAATATAATTCATTTGTTCAAGGAACAAAAATGATAAACATATTTTACGACATTTAACAGAAATGCACGAGATAATACAAGACAACAATATATAAAAATTGACACTACACTGAAAGAAGCACAAAATGGCGGATTCGCGTACTTATAAAGACAAACACCCTGCTGTACAAATGGATATGAGAAACGAAAAATACATTCAGTTATTTAATACATCAAAGTTAAAAAAAAAAAAGACAATTGTAATTTCATTTTTAAAGTGCAAATTAATTGAACCCGAGTGTTTCTTAACATTGATTTGATTGATAGAATAAGGCGATCTGCCACGGAAGAATCTATTATGGGAAACTGGTTTCTATTTAGGTATTAGATGAGTGAAGAAAACCCTGAAAACTTTACGTGGCCAAGAACGTTGATGAGGCGCGAACCCTCCACCAACTCTAACATTTATGAATTTTTTTTTTCTAAGAAATATCATCATGCTTCTCTTTGGTTTTCCAAATTTATTCACGCGTGTAAAGCAAGTTTGAATCATAAAATCCGCGATTAATTCACAAAAATTGTCTCTTAAAATTTCAAACAAACCTATCGTCTCATTATTCGTAGCCCACAATGGCCAGTGGATAAAAACCACTGAACACCAGTAATTGGTCGCGGGTTCGTGAACGTAAACACGATTAAAATAATGGCCAGAAATGAAATTACTTAAATTGCAATTTTATTTCCTCTTTAAACTTTTAAATTCAGAGTGTACGAAAGCTACTAAACAGTTACATGTACAGTACAGTACCATGTAAGAATAGACACAAATCAGCCTAAGATGGAAGAGTCCATGTTATATGTATTTGATTTAACTGTTCGAACGTAATAAATCATACAATTACAGTAGAGCATCGATTATCCGACTCAATTGGGGACTCGGGTTGGTCGGATAACTGAAAAAAATCGGATAATCGAAAAGAATGAAAAAATACATTATTAGTATAGTATATTAGCATATTAGTATATCCCATGTAATTAGTTTATTAGTATATCGCTATTAACCAACTTCGCGTTGAATTTTCATCGATGTTAAGCAATTTTTTTAAAAATAATAATCGTTGCTATTGTATCATTAAAAAATAATTTAAAATTATTTTATTGCTCACAAACAACCACTCATAATTACAAAATTAAATCTCGTTTAAATACTGGCCTCCCTTTCATGATCGAGATAGCGTTGTCAGCTAAAACACGCAAAAATTTAACAAAAACAATATTAAAGTAGCCAAGACATAGCCAAATATTGTAGTGCCACATCACTAGCGGACACTTGAAATTTGCCGACTAGAACGGTCGGTTAACCGATGTGACGGTTAATCGGGAGTCGGATAATCGATGCTCTACTGTACCATTATAAAGTTGTATAAAAGTATATGAACTTAAGTACATTAGATAAAAGGGGTGGAAGGAGACATGTGGGAATTAACACGTGAATTTTATATCTTTCATCTGTTTTATTTTATTTATTTATAGCATTTTTAAAACGTTTCTGTGCTATCTTTTTCTTAAATAATTCTATTGTTTTACTTTTATTTTATAAATTTTACTACTGTAATCATGTCTCCCTCCATCCCTTTCATCTGACATAGAACCTTCCAGTTCGGACTAACTCGTGTGTGTTCTTTCGCTGCACGGACTATAATACACTGTACTATTTCCATATATTTTAACACGTACACACGAATATAGTCGATAACAGAAGGGGTGACTGGCAACTTTCGTGTTCGATATTTTTGAATAAAAGTACTTTATCACCTCCTACCTCACGAGATGGCAAAAAGCCAGTTTGATTACGTATACACCAGGAGATAAAACACTTTAAAAAATTACATCACTGTAAAATTAGGTCGAATATATATGAAAGATGGTGAAAATAACAAATTTACTTAGTTAATTAGTAAGAAAAAAAATTACGATTTATAAATAACTAGGTTAGTTCTTTGGATTTGTTCCAAAATCTTACGTACGGGAATAACAGTGTTTGCACTTACGTACTGTACAACTCTATAATAGTAATTATATGATTTATTACGTTCGAACTGTTAAATCAGACACGTGTAAGTATATTTTGTATACTTTTATACCTTAAAAACTTAATAAAATAGATTATAAAATTAAATTATTGTATCTAAACCGAAGCTATTTACTGTTTAGTAGCACGATAATGCATACAAAGTCCTATATTCAGATTTGCATGACCTATGGATTTAGTCAGAAAAAAATTTGAGATATTTTGAAGAGATTAGAATCTAGGGTCCTGCAGTATTTGGCCCAAATTTAAATTTCTATTTTCTTACTATAGTAATGAGTTTATAAAAGATTGGTTGGGGCCTCCTGTTAGTGAAGTCCTCTGGCAATTGCCGTTTTTACCCATTGTGTATGTGTCTATTTTGTTTGACATCTCAGGATGAGGTAAAGATTAAATTAAGTAACGAGAATTGGCACCGGTAGCTTGTATGTAAGGGGCATTGATGCTATTAAATCCTGCTGGTTAAAGGTCGAAGGGAGGTCGTTATATTTCGTGAAGGATTGGATTTAATGAAGTTTTAACTGGTTTTAGCATTTACAATTTTTTTTAAAAAACTCTTCTCTGCTCTGAAAATTAAGCTTTTTGTCATTTGTAATAATTAATAATATAAAAAGTTCTTTTATGTAAAATCTCGTAACAGATGGCGCCACATACAATTTTATTTATTATGATTAATGATATAAAAGTTATTTTTTAAAATAAAATCTCGTAACAGCCGGGAAAGTTACGCAACTCGTTTCTGGATTTCTCATATACATTATAGATAACATTTCTTCGATTAAGAGCCGTTTATTAATTACATGTGCAGTTTTTAACCCCCCTTCCTCCCTGTTATGTACAGATTAGGGACTTTTTTAAACCCATTCTCTTTCATTACGTTTATCCTCTAAAAGACAGCCACTAATACTGCCAGTAAAAAGTTCACTAACACTACTGGACTGTTTAAGTTTACCACCAATACCACTAAAACAGTCCAACTAGACCACGGGTTCCCAACCTATGGGTCGCGACCCAGAAGGGGGTCGCGACGGGTTTTCTGTGGGGTCGCCAACTTATGCAGTAAACTAAAACAAAATTTTCACTATAATGCAATATTTATTTTTAATGGTGTCTTAAAGTTTGAATAATTTCATATATTTTTAAAAAATTAAAATAAGTGTAATCTGGGTACGCTATTCTGTCACAGTTGGTTGAAACATGTGTTGAGAGTTTTGAGAGGAATAAATTAAATGTTGAGAATGACATGAGGTTGGCGTTAACAAAATCTCACCCGCGAATTTTGAGGCTGGTTAATAATACATGCAATTTCAACCATCTCATTAAATTAATTATTAAACATAATTTAAAATAAAATTATACTAAAAAACTAATTTCATTGTTTTTTTAATTACCTTATTAAAAATACCTTTTTCAATTGTATCGGATCGCGGGACACTTGGCTTTTATAAAAAGAGGTCGCCACCCGAAAAAGGTTGGGAACCGTTGAACTAGACAATACTCCGACCTCCTCTCCAAATCGTGTACAATGATGTACACGATGAGGAGAGAGTCCAATAAAGAAATCCACTAGCACTACTAGACTTTTTTTAGTGATATTAATTTTCCACCAACACCACTAAAGAAAAGTCTATGTAGACAATGCCTTAACCCCATTTCTTTATTAGGATATGATCTCTTTATCCTTTATTAAACGACTCTCCTTTATTAAACTGTAATTAATGAATGGCCCTTATTAATTAAAACAAATAAAATACCGAAAATTAGGAAACGAATTAAAATTTTAAGATTACAACAAACTAAACAAGAATACAATTTACAAAATTCTATTTTAATTTTATCAATTATATTTATAAACATTAACTACGAACTCTTATTATTGGATGTACAGGATGAAGCGAATTCAATGAAATTATCCCGTTAAGCCAAGGTTAAATTAATAAAAAAAGAAAGTTCTGCCGATGTGTACTAGCAATACACTGTGCTTTCAACGTAGAATTCTCGAGATAAACAATGAATATTTTTCGAGCAGCCAGAAATATGATGAAACAAAGGCCACTGGTTGGCAACATGCTCTCTTTTGGTGGAATGTACGTAGCCGCAGAATTCAGCCAACAGACAATAATTTTACATTTGGATAAATCCGATAAAGGATATAATTGGCCAGCTATAGGAAGGTATGTAGTTATGGGAACATTTTTATATTCGCCATTACTTTACTACTGGTATCGATATCTAGACGGCGTTCTTCCTTCTAAGGCCATTAAAGTAGCCATTAAGAAAACATTGATAGATCAAGCAGTCTCTTCCTCCATACTCTTAGTGGTGTTTTATGTTGGTAAGTTGCTTATTGGATGTACCATTGGATGTTTAACTTTGATTTACATTGATTACAAATTTCTTAAATTTATTGCAGGTATGAGTATTATGGAAAGAAAGGAAGATATATTCGAAGAGGTGAAGCAAAAATGGCTGCCGTCTTATAAAGTGAGTTATTAGTTTGCATGAATTTTAATATACTACGAGACTTTTCATTAATATGTAGCGTAGCAGGCTAAATGCCAAGACAATTAAGGCATCAATCTATTGTTGTGGGGATTCGGGATCGAATCCGGGCAGTCTAAAAGCCAAGAAATGTTTCGGGCCTTTAAGCTTATCCAAGTCCTCGGTAGTTTAAAAAAAAAAAAGGCTCTGTTAGTGCCCACGGATATTCGAAAAGTCCAGAAACGTTTCGGGTCTGTGGACCTAGCCGAACCCGAGGGTTGTTTTTTGAAAAAAGCTCTATTAGTGTCCACAGAGAATGGAATTTGTTTCTATATAATTCTGCATATGGTAAAACATGATTTGTGTTTTATAGAACTCATTTAAAATAAACTATAGATTAAAAATTCACTAAGAAAAAATTTATAATTTATTGATAAGTATTTCTTAATTATATAAATTTGATCTGCAAATTTTTAGATATACAGTAGAGCGTCGTTTATCCGAAAGAATTCCAGTCGGCAAATTTAAATTTTCGCTAGTGCTGTGGCGCTGCAATCTTTGGCTATATCTTGGGCTACTCCAATATTTTTTGTTTGTGTATGTGTTTTAGCTGGCAGCACTGTCACTTTTGTGTGGTGTTTATCTGAGGACTGTGTCGTGCTGAATCGAACGTTTTTGATACTAGATAACTTCTAAAGTATAAATTTTTTTGTTTTTATATTTTTCAATATATTTATTTTGTTTGTAAAAAATAAAAAAATAATTTTTAACGATACAATAGCCACGATTATTATTATTTTAAAAAGTTATTACGCTTAACATCGACGAAAATTCGACGCGAAGCGACACGCAACGGAGAAAAATTTCAACACGGGATTGGTTAATGTATTTTTCGTACATAATCGGTTATCCGAACAACCGCGGTCCCAATTGATTCGGATAAACGACGCTCTACTGTATTTTACATTTAACATTTATTATCCAATCAATAACCTGGCAAGGGCTCTTGCTCGACTTTTAGCGGTCGAACCAGAGGTTAAGAGGACCATTAGGATGCCCGATAATTTTCAGTTATTTATAACTAGTAGCCCGGGACGCCCCCTAGTGGGCGTTCTTTACATTCCCATGGGGCACGGTTCCTTTGATTTTGTTCCTATCAATATGCTCTACAGCTCTGTTAAAGTCCCAATCGCGTCATACGGATCTAGGTTTCTACCTATTAAACATTCTATAAATAATTTAAAATAGTTTAATTTGTTTATTTACCTTCTTTCTTTTCTTTTCTAATGTGGAGATTCTGGCTGGATCGCCTTTTCTCTGATGTACTCTTGTCCGTTATTAGACAAATCGATGTGTGCGAGCTACGTAGCGTTCGAGGGCTTGCATATGCTGTCTAGGTGAGAGGTCTGTTCTTCTTGCCCAATATATGGGTCTGGATGATTGCGAGGTCTATCTTCAGAGTACGGCCGAGTTCTTGTCGGGCTTCCGTATATCTTGGGCACGTCAGCCAATAATATCTGGATGTCTCCTGAGTGCCACAATGTGGACAATCTGGTGAAGCTCGTGGGTTTCTAGAAACAGAGGAACCCGTTTAGAGGGGCAGTGTCAGTTCTAAGGCGGGCCAAGAGGGTCTCTGCATTCCGAGAAGCGTGCCTGTAAGGCCAGGGAGCAAAGGGTCTGAGATGATCTCGTCCTTTATTCCGCAAGTTTGCTGACCACAATTCTGTGATCTCAATTTTTTGTTTTTCTCTATACTCCCGGATTAAATCGCGGGCCATAAGTGACCTACGCCAAAAGCCTGATGGGGTATCTGTGCTCGCGGCTCTGTCTGCACCTCGTTAATGTCTATTTCCACGTGGCCCGGGGTCCACCCGATTTCAATGGGTTTGGGATGCTGACTAATATTGTCCGCAATGTCAATAAGTGCTGAGGACGAGAAGGAGATATTGCCTAACGCCTGTATGGCAGACTTACTGTCGGGAGCATATGACCGACGGACCGTGTAGGCATTGGGGGAGTCCGCCTTGTGTGCTCCTCCGCGGTGGACACAGTCCTTCCGCTCAGCATTGCATTCATTGGGTTCATGATCTGCTCCGCATCTGATGCATCTACGTCGGCCTCTGCACGAAGCGGCTAAGTGGCCGAAAGAAAGGCATCGGTCACAGAGATGTGGACGAGGAATGTACTGTACAGTACCTTTCACATCTATAGCGCTGATAGTATAAGGTAATTGCCTCCATTTTTGTAGCACTTGCCACTGACAAATAAACTGTGGGGCTTGAACTACTGGGTCCCCTCTCTACGCGTGAAGCGGCATATTTCTATGACTGGAATGTTTTTGGCCGAAAGTATGTCGTATATCTCGGTTACAGCTGTTGACGTATTGACACCTCGCACAAAATACGCAGTAAGCGCACAGTCGGACGCCAAGCGGCCCCTCACTTGGGTCCAGCCAAGTCTGTGATATGGAGGGCCTCCTCCGCAGTTTGGGGGTCGCAGGATTTCAATATAAGAGCGCCTGCCCGGGAATACCTAACGTCTTGTATGCTTTCCGCGTGTATGAAGTGTTGTTTAAGTGTTGCATGAAGATCCGCCGGGCGAAGACGGTGGAGGGGACTCTGACCCTCCAGAAAAACCGTGTAAACTTGTTCCGGGGGTAACGACCGGCTAATGGAATGTCATTTCTCCAATTCCATTAAAGGGGCAAAAAAGCGAAGTTCATTAAGATCGACGCGAGCTGCCAAGTCTGGCGGCCGTGGCTGGGGGCAACCTCGCTAGGGAGAAGCCCTCCCTACACTTGGAAAATCCTCCACGACGTAGTACTAAAAACTCTCCTACCTGAAAAAACCCCAAGGGTCCAGGAAATTCTTCCCCTACAGGTTCCTCTAGTCCCAAAAGAACTTTAGCAAAAACGCTCGTCCTTCTCGTGAAAAGAAAAACCACTTGATCACTTCCTATTGATGATTAAAGTACAACAGTCGAAAATGGCGTCCACTCCCGTCGTCGACCTAACACGTTTCCGACTTTATTTACCCTTGCTTGTAAACCTCGATTTTAAATGTATCCGCCATTTTTCCAACAAACTTCCCGTGAGTCAATGCGCGACGTTCACAGAGTCACGGGATGTTGTAAATTTGCGGCGCAAAGTTAATCAAGGCATATAATAATTATTTATACAATTCCGTGGTATATATAATAAATTCATATCAATAATAAGTTCCTATTACAAATAAAAATAATTTATTGTTAATTTAAAATCATCGCTAGGACGCCCCTAGTGGGCGTTTTAGGCAATGGATACCGTTACAGACGCGACAATGGCTTATACTGTATATATAGATATAAAATTTTAGGCTCAAAGGAAGTAATTTTGTTGAATTATGATAAAAGTCTCCATTTAAAAATAATATTCAGGTTTTAAAAAACATTATCTGTTAGTTAAAATTATACCATCTGTTAACGAGATGTTATTAAAAATAACTTTTATATTATTAATTATTACAAAAAGGAAAAAAAGGTTTATTCTTGAGGATAGAGACGGCATTTTTTGATATTGTAAATGCAATAACGAGCAAAATCTTCATAAAGTTCGTCCCTCTATCTCCCCACCACTTCGAGTTCGGTAGTCCAAACTTTGACAGCATCAATGCCCCTTATATAGAAGTTACCGTTCCAAATTCCCGAAATTTTCTNAAAAAGGTTAAAAAAAAGACAATTTAGTTTTAGAGGATGGAGACGAGTTTTTAAAATGCTGTAAATGCCAAATCTATTAAGTCCGACCTCACAGGAGATATAGCATACAAGTTGACCTTTTCCTAATCCCCAAGGGTTTTGTCAACAAACAATGAACAAATAACTACATAAAAATAGTTGCATGGGACAATTGACAAACAGAGCCGGCCCTACCATTGGGTGAACGGAGCAGCCGCTCCAGGCGCTAAGTCCTAGGGGGCACCTCAGTGGTAAAGAAAATTAAAGGGTATAAATTAGGGGCAACCAAGGTGGGCGCCATAATAGGATCTCGCTCCATCCTGAAATTCGCCTCGGGCCAGCACTGTTGACAAATACCGTTCATTAGTTTCTTTTATATTTGTAGAATAGCATACCTAGAAGTCATGAATTTTCTGTTGCTTGGCGAAAATAAAATTTGGTGCCCATATCACTTGTTTTCAAGGCCAAGTTAGCCCCGTGTGCAACCAGCACCACCTTGTGGGAGCAATGTTCCGACATTGAATCATACAGTTTGAACATTCTTTCATAATGTACGATGCCGTTTTTTTCATAGCTTATGCCCCCTTTTCTATAGTATGCGGGAACCGCTGATGCATGTTAAACCTGATATTGGCACCTCTTGGAATTTGTAAATAGGGATGGAGGTCAAATAACCCCAGGAATTTTTCAGGGATGGTCCATCCTAGATATGTTAGGTCCCATCCCTCATATCCATGCATTGTAGGCCTGGCTGAATGGGGTTGAAGAGAGGTTCTCTTATGGGGCAGAAAGAGTAAAGAAAGGTCAAATATGTTAAAAAAATACATGAACTGGCTATTACTTGTAAGCTGAACTCACAGTGTATTTGTGAGCCATCTGATCTACAGTTAGGTTGGAAATATTACCATGATAATCGAGGCTCTGTGGGTATCCCCATAACCAAAAAATCACAGGAGTTCAGATCTGGTGATTATGGCAGCCATGAATTAGAGATGATCTCGTGCAAAAATTGTTGTTGCAGTAAAACTTGAATACTTAAGCTGATATACAGAGGTATAGGTACACACCATCTTGTATGAAGATTGTGATGTTCAGACAATTTCTTTGCTGCAGTACTAGAATGGCAAGGTTTCAAAGCATATCTTATGCATTAACAACATTGACTAGATGCCGAGTTTTCTTCAAAAATATAAGGGACAATAATAAAAGATGATGTGAAATCAAGCCACATCATTAGATTTGGTGAATGCAATGGAATTTTTGGTATTAGGCAAGAAAACAAATGGGCATATGCTGCCAAGGGACAGTGACTCCTGGGAGAATTTTTAAGGGAACTGATAGATGAAGAAAACCCAAAACTCCATGTGGCCAGTTCATTGACAAGGTGTGAACCCATGACCTTCAGTAGTTTTATCTATTCGGCCACTGGTGGACCTAAGATGTTTTAGTCACTGAGATTCAATCCTGAGTCTCCACAGTGCTAGGCTACATGTCTAGCAACTCCATAACTTTGGCCACATATGCTTCAACTCCAAATTAGTTGTTCTGTAAGCACTACATGTGTACAACAATACAATGAATGCATCAAGTTTCTCTAAAGACAGTGACCAATTTTCATCTTCTTGTCTGCATACATTTTTTACATGACTGCTTTTGTCTATGATGCCAAATGTTCCAAACACTTCCATCTGTAATATTTTTTTATCTTGTGCTGTTGGACCTGCAGTTCTTTCAACACATTTTGTGCAAAAAATTATGAGAAAAAATATTTAATTTTCAGCAAAAATAATAAGTTATGCAAAGTCAATAACTCCGATTAAGTGATTAAAGGTTTGAGGAATTAGAAATTCAAAAGGAGTCAATTTTATTGTTCTGTGCATTAATCATGATGACTAATTAGAATAAAATCATTAAGAAAACTTAATTGTTTAATTAAAAAACAAATATAATAACTTTTTTAAAATTTATTCATAGTTAAGTTGCTGTTTTTGGTTACCAACTCAAGCCATCAATTTCTTTTTGGTTCCTGCATACTTGAGAGTTGTTTTTGTAGGCAGTGCATCATTTGTATGGGTTAATGTCTTATGTATACTTAAAAGAATGGTAAGTTTAATTTATTAGTATTTAAATTTTATATTTGAATGTTTTAAAATATTTAAATAATAATAATAATATATTAATTTTCCAGCAAATGAAAAAAGAAGCATAGCTTTATTTATATCCATTCATTTGAATACTTATTATTCAAAGAATAATGAAAGACTGAGTATAAATTTACAATTAGGAAAAACAGTATTAAAAAAAATATTAATTTTCAAATGTATCACTGTATATAAATTTAATTTTGTAAATATATTTAGTAATTTTATCATATAACTTTTATATAGAATAAAATAAAAAAAAATAATGATCTAAGAGAGTATTTTATGCTGTGATATCAATCATATTTAATACAAATTGTTTTCTTTTCGGTGAAAAATTCTCTAGAATCTAACGTTCCTTCTCTTCCAATTCCAGACATTTTCATGCCTCCAAAAGGCATCTGTAAATCTCTAATCAACCAACAGTTGCACCATATTGTTCCAACCTATAAAACAATTTATTAATCTACCCATTAATATATTAATAAATTAACTAACAGATATTTACCTCTAATTGGTAGGCAATCTTATGAATTCGTCTAACATTCTGCGACCATAAAGAAGCGCAGAGACCGTATTGTACATTGTTAGCTAATTTCACTACTTCCTCTTCTGTATCAAATGGTAAAATACAAGTAACCGGACCAAATATTTCATCTTGCATGCATTTCGAATCAGGAGATAAATCAGTTAATACAGTCGGTGGTAAAAAATAACCCTAAATATGAAGTTAATAATACAAGGAATCAAATTTGCAGAGATATCTTATCTACAATTTCAAGATAAACATCTAATCTATAATAATATTAGGAGACTTTTGCACTGATATGGAATCTGAAGATTACTTTTGAAAAACATTTTGAATAATAAAATCTAAGTAAAAGTTCAATTAATTTTTTTAATGATTCAACAGAATTCTACCTGATTTTAAGTATAATTTTTTAATGAAAATATAGAAAATTTAGAAAACAACAACTATTTTTTATAAATTATTAAGTAAATTATCCTTAATTCCTGTAGAGTTCCTGGTTAATGGTTATAAAAATTTTAAACTTTGGTATTATTAATAGATATTAAATACAGTAATTTTTTTTTACTGTTTCCTCTTAATATCCAGTAGACACTAAGGTCTTTTTATGATACTATTGTGGGTTCACCCAGATCCACAATGGATTGACTGAGTGGTTGAGGATGGGCCCAACATGTTTAGGTTAAACCACATAAAAAGTTCCAAGGGTTGATCTTGATTTTATCCTAAGTCCTCCATCAAAGTAATAGGCTGACATCTTGACCACCTCAGCCATCCAGCTATCAATCTAAAAATTGCACTTCAGCATGTTATTTTGATATTTTAATCTTTGACCTTTAAAGGTCAAAGATCAAAATACAAAAATAATATAAAAACAAAATCTATAGTTTTCTAAATAATTTCTTTTTCAAATTTCTGTCATTGTGAGGAACCATGGATCAAATTCAGGCAAGCAACTCTCCCAGGAATTTTTTATGAGTGAGAAGTACTGTCCCTCACCACCCTGCTGCATCCACAATGGATATGAAAAGTCTCTTCTTAGTGTCCAAAGGGCAGAAAGAGTAAAAATAAAGGTGTTTTATATTGTAAGATATGAATTATACATTATACATGTACTGTACAATAGTATATAATACATATATAAACATCTTGAAGCCTGATATGTAGCCTGATTAATTAAGGCTGTCATTTGGTTTAGAATACATACAATAGATTATACAAATGAAATGAAACCCTCTCAATTAAGATAAACTGTTTGGTTTAAAAACATAAAAAATCTATTAGAAATATTATTTTGTACAAAAATATAAATTCAAATATCATATTCTAACCTGTTTGTTTTCTGCAGGAAGGTTTAAAGTTTCATTCCCTGTCAAAAATGTTGCTCCTTCTTGACGAGCTATCTCTAAATATCTTTGAATTTTTTCATATTGTAATTTATTGTTTATGGGACCCATCCATGATTCTGCTTCTTGTGGCACACCAACTTTGATATTTCTAATATTAAAAAAAATATTCATATATAATTAGTAAGAATGTTTTGAAAAAATCATGTTAAAAAATCACTCACTTGGCTAATGCTGCAAATTTTTGTTTAAAATTTTCATAGATGTTTCTTTCAACAAATATTCTGCTTGTACATAAACAAATTTGTCCTGAATTCAAGAAACTTGCTCTGTGTTAAATATATATATATGTGTATAATTATAAACAAAATATTTAAAAAATGAAATGGTAAAGAGAATTTTAATATTGAAATACAGTAACACTGTGTCAGTTTATATGTTCATTTATACACGTTTTCCTAAATGAATGCTACCATTTTAAATTATTGTAATTATGTTAATCATTATCTGAGAACATTGTAATGTGTATTACAACATTGAAAAACTGTCCAAGTTTCACATGTCCACTACAATTTCTCAATATGTTCTCAACAATACACATCAACTATACTCAAATTCTTCCCATACTCCTTGCACAGCAGTCACAATTCTACAGCTCTTCCAAATTAGTCATGTTGCACAATGATAAGAGATTCCAACTTTGCAAACTGCAGAAAACACAATACCTTCTCTATTGTGGAGTCACCATCTTTATTTACAGTGCTTCCTAGAAGTAGGCAATGAGCTCGGACAGCTACTCTGTTGGTTGATGTTATAGCATACTTCTCGGATAATAATTAACATAAAATGGTAGCATTAATTCTGGAAGACCCTATGTAATTAAATTGCAGATGTTTGTCCTTTTCATATAATCATCTTTTCTAGATGGCCAGATGCTATGTTCAATGGCTGAAGCCAGATGATGATTAAAGTGTCAACCTCCCACTCTGGAGTCCTGGGATCAAATCTGGATAAGCAACCCAAGGAATTTTTCATGGCTGGTCTGATCCAATTATATTGGACCCCATCTCTCATCTCCTGGGCACCCCATTGGTTAAACTTCTATGGGTATGGAAAAAAGGCATTATGCTATTATACTACCCACAGAGCAGAAAGAATAAGAAATGTAAGAAGAGAAAAAATAAAGATTAAGGGCAAATTCCTGGGGTTTTTCAACTGGTCCAGATTCACTCCTGAGTTCTCCAGTGCAGTAGGCTGCCATCTTAACACCTTAACCATTCAGCAATCTGGTTGTCTATAATAAAGTTATCATCATTTGAAAAATAAATTTAAAAATTATAATTATTTTTGAAATTTAATATTAAGCTGAAATATCAAGAAACTTGAATTTTATTTTTATTTAATAAGATAATTTACAAGTACCTAATTAAGTCTGGCAAACATTTATTTAAATCAGCATCACCAAAAACAATTGCAGCATTCTTTCCTCCCATCTAAAATTACAAAATTTCAGTTATTTTATTCTGAGAAATTACACATTTAGTTAATATATTTATTTACTTACCTCTAAAGATAATCTCTTAACTTGTGAAGAAGCAACTTCTTGAATATGAGTTCCAGTTTTGGTACTTCCAGTAAAAGATATAAGAGGGACTTCAGGATGTTTAATTAAAGCTTCTCCTACTTTGTGACCATAACCAAAAACCATATTTACTACTCCTGGTGGCAATCCTTTTAATAGCAATTAATGCAATTTAGAAAAAAGGTAATAAACCTTAAACAATAAAAATACAATGTTCTATATAATACCTGCTTCCTGTAAAACAGAACAAAGCATCCAAGCTGTAACTGATGTAAACTCGCTTGGTTTGGCAACAACTGTGTTTCCATATGCTAAAGCCGGAGCCAATTTAAATGTAAGCAAATATAAAGGCAGATTCCATGGAGTTATTACTCCTACAACTCCAACAGGAACATGAATTGTATAATTTAATAAGTCAGCTTCAGGTTGAATTTTTGATCTGTCATTTAAATTATTTTTGAATAATATATTAAAGAAACTAATACAATAACAAATAAATATTAGTAGAACCATAATATTTAAATCCAGATGATTTAGACCTCATACAGACTATAGAGCATTCAATGTAATGTAACAGTATCCCAAGCTGACCACCATCACATGCTCGGTAATGTGTGCAGGACCCATAACACCATAACCTAAGTATAACAGAAGCCATTTAATGTTCAGTTTGGAGGTTGCTCCTTCCAAAGGCAGCATAATCTGAAACATCAAAGGAATGCTCACATTGAAGCACCAATGTGGATGGTATCCATTATAATAGCATTTCAAGTGGTGTCAATACATCTTTCTCTCTTTTTGCTTCTACCTCTGGCTCACCAGTTTTATTACAGAAGCTTGTTATAGCTCAAGACTAGAAATACAGACTCCCTAACCAGACAGAGTGCCTGTTTGGAGCACTGTTGTTACAGAAAAATGCCCTGTAGTGTCTATACGTGGCTTTATACTAAATTCTGATTGTTCCATTAGAGTTTGTGATTCACTTTTTAATGTAATTTAAATTCATGAAAAGGCCATGGATTTATATATATTTGACCTCTAGAGTTGACCTCTTTTAATCCCACAGTATCTGTTATAGAGTGATGCTGCTGCATCACTCTATAACAGACACTGTGGGATCAAAAGAACTGACCTTTATAGAGAGGCGTCTGGCTAAGACAAGTTTTGTGAAAATTATCATACTTACATATCATTATCACTCTGTAAACTATGTGCAAATGCTCGAAAATTCAAAACACTTCGATTCATATCGACTCTTTTTGCAATCCATATTGGTTTGCCTTGATCTCTAGATTCTGCAACACTAAATTCATTCTCTTTGGTCTCTAAAATATCTGCAATTCGAAAGAGATATTTGGCACGTTCGTCAACTGATGTTTTGGACCATCTGAAAAATAAATGAATCAATAAGTTTATTAACTGATATACAGTAAAAACCTGTGTAAACCGAGCTTGCGTGGTACCGAGTATATCATCCAGTTTAGCAGGTTTTTAAATAAAAACTAGCTTCGTTACGAAGAATTTCTTCCGTTTAGAGAGGTTTCTGTCTTATTCGGGTTCCGTTTCGGACAGGTTTTACTGTATAAGTGATTATCTACTATTTTTTTCCTATGGGCATTCAAAGCCAACTTCGTAATTCTGAACTTAACGCCACGTTGTTACAAATTGAGAAAAATCTTCCATTTTTTACATGGGACAGTAGGCTATCGTAGCCAAAAATAAATCATTAAAAGCCTATAGGGTGCAAGATGAAAAAAAAAATTGACTGGTATTTTTCTCTTTTCCACCCAGCAAAGGCTACAGTCTATGTATAAAAAAAGCGTAATAGCAATCTAAGTTTACATGATGAAAGCCGTAGCTTATACTTGTATACATGGAATATGGACATTGCTGACTAAGCTGAGGCCTTAACCACCTCGCAGGCCACATTTGACAGGGGGGTATCGCCGGAGTGAGTAAATACAGTCACCAGAAATGCGGACAAAGCAGAGAATTCATAAAAACTCGTGCTGACAGTAGTTTTGTCCTCCAAAACGAGGACATGTCCTTATAAATGAGGACGTCAAAGAACAGAGTGGTATTATTATTATATACAGTGGCACGTTATAGCTACATGGACGCCAAGGGAGGCCATGTACGTACAGTGTTCACTTAGAACATTTTTTTTTTCTTCGGGGGAAATATTTCCTTATAAAATATTGATTTGGAGTCCCTGTTGGTAGGGCTTTCAGACAATTGCTGTTTTCGCCCACCGATAAACCTCGAAATAACGCTATATAACGTATCGCCATCTGTTGAGCGAAAATTATATTAATCCGTGAAGATTATTACTGTATTTTAACAGTTTCATACAGTTAAGCCTGTTTAAGCGTGTTACGTACGAAGAAACTTATCTCGTTTCGATTATCGAGAAAATTCTATCCATTTATAGCAAAACTTACAATTTAAAAGCCTGCTTGGCAGCGGAAACTGCGTCTTCTACTTCCGGTTCTCCGCTGTCCGGTATTTTTGCCCAAACTTTTCCAGTTGCAGGATCATAACTGTCTATAAATTTATTCGCCGAACAAAATTTGCCGTTTATAAAATTTTCCACTCGTATCGTATCCTTAGACGCCATTTTGAATCGAAGAACTTTGGTCTAATACATTGCGTAACAGTTACTTTGACACTTGTATCGCAATCATTGTGTGGACATTGCATTGTAAACACGTTCCTAACGCCAATTAAAATCTAATTCTCGAGGAAATGAGATAATAAATGCTTATTTAATCCGATTTAAACAAAAAAATTGAAATTAAAATAGCATTTAAAATTTAAATTTGTCTCGTATTTGCAACCGTGGATTGAGAGTTAGAAGTTAATGACGTTCCAATTTGGTTCATTGAAGATTAATCACGCTCCTATCTATAACTGATTCATATTGTTATACAAATTTCTAGTTTATCATAATATTTATTCAATTATGTGTAAAATATTGTATTCATACAATATTTTATTAATGTAACTGGGTCATTACAAGGTAACTGCCCATTGCTGATCCTCCAGAGACCCATTTTAGACGTATCAACAGCAGAAATCTCAACATTTTAGTTGAAGATATTTGCTTTAATGTTTGGATGCCGTATTTTTGCATAATTTAACTGGACGTAGACTTGAATATAAGCCCATAACATGCCCTTCCCCTCCACCAAATAATGATATATATAAAAATGTGAGGCCCTAAGCTATAATAATGATACATATGAAAATGCGAGGCCCTAAGCTTAATATGATGCGCTAAACAGCACTTGTTTAACATAATTTTGGTGCTTATATGTGACCCCCCCATTATTTCATGCCTAAAATAGATAATAAATTAATATGTACTGTATATTAAGAGTAAAATTTTAAAACATTTTTACATTAAAATCGATTCATTTTATTCTATTTTTTAAAAATAAAAACATTATTTCCAAATTTAAAAAAGAAGAAGAAGAAGAAAAGGGAATTATTAAACTCATACGATAGATGGCAGCAATATAAGTTTACAATTAGTTCTGTTTGATTGGTTACAATAGTACACATTTTTACGTAAATTTGACGTCATTCTTTAGAATTTCTCATTGTAATACTGAAGTAATGACGTCAAATTGACGTAAAAACGTACAGCTTCATTGTCAATCAGTCGAAACTAATTTATTCATGTTTTTTTACCCACTTAATACTTTTCCCCCTCCGGCCATTTTGTAGCGATTTAATTACCTTATTATTTATATTTTATTAAAATTATCGAATTTCTATTCTCGATTTGCCATTTAAAATAGCATCTAATAACTGTTATAAACGGTTACTAAACGTATAAATTAATATAACTATTCTCAATATTACGTGTAGATATTCCAACAGATAAAAGAGCGAATAAAAGAATTGAGAAAAATTTCAAGAAATAAAGAAAATAATTATAATTAATTAAATTTATAATCGCTTGTTAGTTCTATTTTAGAGAATAATGAGATGCAATGTAATAAATGACGTCTGTAACAGCTGTTGTTATAGGTTATATATTCAGTAACAGTTTACGATTGTTACTAGATATTTAACTTATCATTGCACGTAGCTGTTCTTTAAAGTAACTAAATACAATAGTGTAGAATTATTCTCACCAAGTTATTATGTAGAATTATTACTCACATTACTTAGTTATAACCTAGAATTAGTATGCAGTTACTTAGTCATTCTAAAGAATAATTAACTGGTTACTAACTCTAACTCGATTCTTACAATTACTATAATTAGTATCGAGTAGTTACTCTACCTAGACTATTGTATCTAGTTACTGTAAAGAATAGTTAGATGCAATAGTAAGTTATATATGTAGTAACGAACATAAACTGTTACTGATCATACACATTATAAAAAAAGCAGTTAGAAAACATCATTTATTATATTGCATCTCATTACTAATTAAAACAGAAACTAACGAACGATTATACATGTAATTAATTATATTTATTTTCTTTATTTTACCCAATTTGATTTTTAGAAAGATGCGAATTTTAAGGGTCAACTTTACTGACCTTAACCCAATCGTTTATTATAGTGTAGGGTACGATGACGTTTCTGTTTCTCACATAAGAAATATAATATTCAGAGGGTGAAGGTCAGATATATAAATGAGCGATAGTTTCCTCGTCTTATCTATGCCAATCTATTACTTTAAACTACGAGAGTATGAGCATACGGGGAGAGGATGTTACGCGTAACTCCTACCAGCTGATTACCATAACAGACAGGTAGCACCTTTAAAGTTTTAACACGGTTCTACGGGTTAGTGCCACAGCGCCACCAAACCCTCGAAGAAAACTCGATTGAAGAAAACAGTATGGCGCCGTCCAGACCGGTCACAATTTTTCTTTGACTGTCTTACTCATACATGTGTTACGTTAAATAGATAAGTTACACGCGGGATTTCTATCGTCGTTTAATCAACGCTTTCCATAAACATTCATGAACAAGTCTCGTCTCGAAGAATGGTAAGTGATGTCATTTTCTAGGAAACTTTTATCTTTAACATTCTGACTTAATAGCGGTTACGATCTTTAAATCGAATTACTGTACTTAAAATTAAAAGTGTCGATTTGTTATTTGTTAAAGGAAAAAGGAGGGGAAGGGGGAGATTATAAAAAAAAAAAAAAATAGCAATGTTGGGGGCAGCGACCTAGACGAACTGGTGTGGCATGCATGTCTGGTTTTTGCACCTAGGCGCGGTTTATCTTAATATAGGCGCAATTCTTTACGAATTTTAAAAGTTTCTCCCTATTTTAATAAGGAAAAAAAAGAGTAAAATGGGCGAGACTTCGATGACAGTTGATGAACAACAGGATCATTGTTGCAACTTTGCTTCCTGCGAAGCTTTAAATTTATGATATCAGCTTTGCACTTTGACGTCCCGTGACTTCGAATATCTTTAAATAAATATATATAAAATGTTACATTCTCGAGTCATTCTGTAATTATATATAAATTCCTTCCATTTTTTTTCCTTTTTAAAACATAATTTTACTTTAATTCGTAGTTAAAATAAAGCATGGTTTTTTTATGGCACCCGCCTCGAATGTATGTCAGGTATTTCCAGACAAATAATCGAACTTAAACCAATGGAACCATATAATGGAAGCATTAAATGTACTTAAAGAATTTGCCTGAAGTTCAAGGATAAAGAGGCTTTTATGCAGTCGGGACACGGTACAATTGGCCTGAAGCTATATTTAGAATGTATATGGATTAATCAAAATCATAAACTGTGATTTTCTAACTATAGATTTAGTTAAAATATAAGGAAAATAAAATTTAATTATAATTATATTTAAACGTAATTAATTCCATCTTTTCTTAATCAGGATAATCACGTAACGTTACCGATTTCGGTCATCGAAGGTGAGTAACCTTTTTATTGTACTGTATAACCTCGTTAAGACAATTTTAATTTAGATACAGAAAGATATCAAACAAATACGAAGTCTGCACGTTAAATTTCCTGAAATAATCCTATAAATTTATATAAAATTAATCTACAAATGACCTTCTTCCATTAGGTTAAATACTCTGGTGACGCACTCGCAGCTGCTACTGTCAGTTACCCAATAGGGCGATAGATAACGTGTAAACGAAAAGATAATAAACTTTTAATTAACTTCGATAGTTTTATTTTAATTATAAATAATGTTCGAGTAATGAAGAATATTATTAAAAATTTATTTTTTAAATATTTTAATGACTTATCATCGAAAAAATTAGCTTGAGTTTTAAGGAGAGAAAACAATATATATTTATTTTTTTATTGTAGAATTTTTAAGTATTAGGAATTACATTTTATTACAAATTTGTATACTTTTTAATTATTTTTTATATAAATTTCCTCGTTTTATAGACATAAAACACATGGCTATCTGTCAACGAAACAATAATTAATTTTGAATAAATAAACGCGATTTGCTCCAATTCCGTTCGTTGATCCCTAAAATTAGGGAGAAAAAAACTCACGATCCAGTCGATTTTTTAAAAATTTGATACTCCATTTTATATTTTCTACACACAAAAAAAAAGAAAAAACAAATACATTTAAATATCTAAATTCTTATCAGGATTCCATCTAGAGTATGAATATCAAAAGCTCTAGAATATCCCCCCTAATAAAAAACTTAATAAATGAATAAATTATTCATTTAATATTCGAGAATAATCTTGTAATATTTACAAATTAAAACACTTTTGATTGGATAAATTTGCGTATCGTACGACAAGATGCTTACCAGATAAGCCATAGAAGAATCCAAAGTATTAAGTTACACGCTCTCGATATACTTATATTAATTATACAATTTCGAATTTATAACCTTTTTATACGTAAATTTATTGGAAATTTTCTGCAGCAGGAATGAAACTTGTTTCCATTTTCCCAAAGAAAAAATAATAATAAAAAAAAAAAATGGTGATGATAAAGTGACTTGCGTGGGATGACTAGTTGGATATCTATTTTCTCAAGGTTGTCTGAGGTTATTCAAATACTAATGCACATATATATAAACTATACTTATAGATATATTTACAGATCATTACAAATAGGTTATATAAATATATTTAAGTACATATTAATGATGTAGAAATATTTTATACGCCTTTTTTAAGTTGCTTCTTGATGCTCGTAAATTTCTCAGAATGGCACTTTTTCACCATTTATCAACAATTTAGAGTTAAAGAATTCTTAGAAAATCTTCATTCACTGGAGTTAAAATGTCGTTATAACTTAGAAATATTTCCAGATGGCAAGACAAACGGTTCCATCGAAAAAATAAGGAGGAAAAAAAAGGAATAATTTAATCTATCAAGCCTTTACAAATCCTTCTAAGAATTCTTGAATTATTCTCTCTCTCTCTCTCTCTTTTTTCCTGTATAGGAAACTGTTGTTACTGTAAAATTATGATATTTACATGTTCGTAATTTAACTAAATAAATTATTATTCGGTTCCTTTTTACGGTTACTTAATGATGGAAGCGGTAACTTTATTAAAAAAGTTGATATTAAGAAGCACTTTAATGGCTCTCTCTGTATTTAGATATAAATAAAAATATTATTTTTATATCTAAATATCTAAAATGACTTCTTAGATGTTTATAAACAAAGATTTTCTTTAAAAATTACATTTTTTTTTTTAAAGCNCAGGCTCACTTATGTGAAAACAAAGCTGCTGAGTTAATTTAGAAGAAATTTTGTATCATTTTATCAAAATATCAGTATATTTATGCTATTATTTTCTTAAGGAAACTTAAATTAAGTTTAGTTTCAGCTATTTCTAAGCTTAATTATACTCAAGATAAAATTTTTATGAAATTTTTAAGGATGAATAGGCCTCAAGTATTACTTTCCTGAGATTGAATATAAATTTTTTTCTGTATAATTTATAATAATAATAATAATAATAGTTTTATTATAATGCTAGTGTTGAAGATTTAGATACATGCAAAATATAATGCAATTGATAGAAATATCAAGTCTCAGGCTGGAACTGTGAATGAGATAAGAGCTTAGGTTTATCAATTGACAGATTTATGAGATTTACTGGCCTAAATCTGAGTGTATTGATACCTTGATCCCTTGATCTCTTGTTCAAGAATGTGGTAAAATGCCCATTCAAAGGGAGATAATACGAAAAGTGTTTTAAATGGTTCATTTAGCTCAAGAGATTAAGCTTGTTTTTATAGAATTCTATTGTAATTAAAATTTAAGTATTCTCCTTAATGATTTCATTCTGTTTAACATCTTAATGGAAGAGATTTAGTATCTTCTCCTTTATAGTTCAGTAGAATGAACGGTTTATAACTATGGTTTACAGAGAAAGATTTANTTTTTTTAATATAAAAGACTAAAATTTGGGGTCTCTCCATGTCCAGGGCCATCCAAATACCCCTGCTGGCACCCTCTATCTGAATCTGTTCACATGTTTATGTAGAAAATATTATTATATATATACAAATTTATCCCTTTATAAACATATATACAAAATAAAACCTTCAATTAATTCAATTTTAATGACAGGAGATTCTATATTAGTAGATTTACTTGAGCCATTTTTTTTATACAAATGCTAATTGAGGGAACTCCAAGACTTCAATCTCTTATTAATTCAGTCCAGTCAGTTCATGGAATGTAAATAATGTAAAATATATGCAGGGTGTCTAAGAAAATGTATATACACACTCTAATGACTGTTGAATTATTAAATTTCTTGAGAAAGTATCAATTAGGATAGTTCAGTTATTATATATTAAGATATATGACATCATTTCTAGTTGTTTAACATCCTTGAACAGTGTTAGAGAAGTGTTCAACAAGAAATCTATTGCTTCCATTACTTGTTTCCTACTAAAAGATATGTTTTAATTAGGAATTATCAAAATATGTATACATTTTTTGAGGCATTCTGTATATAAATGCATTACAAAATTCCAGAATAATATATAAAAGTCATACTCCTTCCAAGATGATGCATGAAGATAACAGCAGAATAACCAGTTCAGTTCATGGCATCCTGTTTAAATTATTTTTTTGTTATATAAAAGAAGAAAACCAGTTGCTCTAATTTGTTATATTTTAAGAAATAAATTAATTTTTTTCCCCTCTAATTTTAAATATTTAATTAGAACAATCTCCATCTTCACCTTGTTCATAGAGTTAATTAAATTTGCTGCTCTGTAAGCATGCGGAAGTTACCCTGTGCGTGTGTTTTTCTGATAAACGATTCCCTTCCTTCTTTAGGAGGTGTTACACTTCTAGAGTTCACTTTCTTATCTAAAATATATTATTTATGAGTTTTTCTTAATCAGATATGAGGATGGAGTTCATCAGTTTACTATAGAGTTTGTAAGGAAGAAGTAATAATCTCCTCTACAGACTGCAGAAAAGAGGACAGCAAGACCATTTAGCTGAGGCCCTAGGCATAAAAACCTACCAAAATTTAAATCTTTTATGCAATAAAGCATAATTGCATGCATATATTTTTATAAATTTCGGAGGAGTTCATGGCTGACTCCTTCTCATCCCTTTCAAGCCATTAAAACTTTGATTTATACTGATTTAACTTTAAAATTATTGCTTATCATAGTTTAATTATAATATCAACTTAATTAAAATGAAATTAGATTAAATAAATCCACTTTAAGTGAGAAAAAAGTCGATTTCTATAACTGTATTTGCATTTAAGATGGTCGCCAAATCCATGCTGCAAAATAAACCCTTAAAATATGCATTAAGAAATTAATTGCATATAATTTTATTGCATATAAATAATATTTAAAAGAGTTAGAGCCTGAAGAGGAACGAAAAGAGGATGTCAATAGAAACGTTTCTCAATTGTGCCACCGCGGAAGCAGACAGAATGGCGTTAGATATTCATACAAAAATACCCAATTTATATTAAACAATTTAAATTTCCTTCAAATTCTCATTGTTAGATGCAATTGAAACGATTTAATGACTACAAATAAAAGAAAAAAAAAAAATTCGCGGAAACGGTAACGAAAACAGGAAACGAACGGATGAGGGTACTTTAATCAATTGTTTTCTCTAACAATGATCTTCAATTTATAGTTTGTGGCCCTCTTGTAATTCCAAAAACTATCCTGGATCAGTAAACGATCGCATGTCCTTCCCACAAAACGTATTTTTTAAGTTTATGAATGAATTGGCACGCTTTGCAAGGCTACCAAGTCAATTACCAAAGTACCAAAAGTAAGGTGAGAGATCAAAGATAACCGATTAATAAGTTAATTTTTATCAATTTTAAAGCATTGCAGACTGTAAATTCAGTCCTTAAATCATTTTCTTTATGGATTTATTGTAAATTCATAGATAATATGGCAAGTATTTTATGTTTCTACGTGAATATCTATCAATACATTGGCTCCATTAAAAATGCAGTAGATATTCGCTAAAATTCCAATTTTAATGCTATTTTTTAATATTTTTATAGTATTATATCATAAATTACATATGCTCTAAGGTTTATGATTTACTAAAATTAAATTTTAATGAGATAAATTTAATTATTTTGGAGATTTAGACATTAATCTCTGAAAGTTTCATAGAATATGTAAATTAATTTATGATAAATCGTTGAATATTAAAAGCGGTTTTTTCTGGAATTAATTATCGTTGTTTCCTATGTAAATATATAGCAGAAGGTATTTATTTTTGATCATTTTATTAGGATAATAGCCACATTTTGCAGGTATTTTACTTATGCTATTTTCCTTTGTGCAGCTTTGAGGGAGACTTTTGTAGCGGCAGATACAGATGGAAGAGGATATATCGACTGTAAAAGCGTCGTTAACCTGATTCGTAGGGTACTAGGTTCAGCCATAGCTAATTCTGACAGAGAAAGACTTCTAGGAAAAGCCGAGTTACTAGCAAAAAGAGGTGAGTGATTCACCCTCTAAAAACAACTATTTTGTTCTTTCCTTTCCTTTCTCCATTTTATACTGAAAAATTCTTTTCTAAACTGAGTTTATCTGTTATAAACATAATGTAAATAAACTATACTAAGGTATGAGGGCCCCATTAATGGCCCATAAAGCTTGGGCTATATTTATTTCAGTCATTTCTTGGGAGAAATTGGAGCTGGTCAAAATAATAGTTCAAACTTGATGGGTCTTAATTGCGTCCCTATCTTACATTAAAATCCGAGATTTTTTTTAAACGCTTTTATTTAATTCGTTATTCCCCAATTCCGAAAAAATAATCAATTTAAGATATTTTTTAAAAGATTTTAAAGGGGTTTTTTAAATGATTAATTCATTTGTTTTACTCTCCTTATCTTGTCTGTAAAATAAATTTAGAGGTAGTAAGTAGCCTATTCTAAATGTATAGAATAATCTATAGAATAATTAATAAAAAGTTTCAAATAATATAAAATGGAAGAATATCGTAAATATATACAACTCTTTCCTCTCTGACTGTGAGAATCTTTCTGAGATCCTCTCAGACTCTTTCTGAAAGTCTTTCTAATAACCCTCAAAGGTTTCTATTAATTAACAGCTCTCTGAGTCTTTCTGAAAGCCTTCTTCTGAGAGTCTTTCTGAGAGCTTTGAAAATGTTCTTCTGAGATCCTTTCTAATAGCTCTGAAAGCCTTCTTTTGAGAGCTCTCTGAGGGCTCTGACGGCCTTCATCGGAGGATCTCTCTGAGTCTTTCTGAAAGCCTTCTTATGCGAGCTCTAAGAGAGCCTTTTTTATTCATCGAGACTACAACTAGAATCCTAAAATCACCTATAGAAATTTCTCCTGGAACGGATTTCTCAGAACGAAAAGTTAACATTATAAAAGACATTAACAAATATTTGATATGGTTAAAGCCCTCTTATCTGTCTTAAGAGTTAAATTAGAATTCCAAGAACATTATAAAATTATTTATTTATAAAAGAAAAGAACGTTTTTTTTCCAAGATGGCTCCTCTTCAACTTGGATTTCACGTGCCATTAGTCATTGAATGCTCTGAAAGGTTTCCCCATTTGCACGTTTTTTTATATAAACATAATATAATTTTTTAAAAAAGATGATAAATCAATCATTCTGCTTGTTTGTCTAATCAAGAAATCATATCGTGTATTTAAAGCTAATCATGTTTATAAAACTAATTGGACCTTCGTAAAATAAATATGATATACGACAGGATGACACTCTTCAAATAATAGAAACATTTATTTATAAATTAATTCGATTAAATTTATGTTCCTTAAAGTTATGGACATTAACGAATATACATTCGAACCTCCAAACAACGACCACCTCTAAACAGCGGCCATTTCAAATACTTTTTCGAGCAAAAGTTCATAGAAAATGTCCTCCAAAAAACTGTCATTTTAGGATATTTTTTTGTTTTTTGACCAAGTATACATACAAAATGACCTTGAAACAACGACCACCTCTAAACAGCGGCCAGTTTTTAAGTACATTTTTCTTTTTGGACAAAATTGCAAGCAAAATAACCTCCGAACAACGATCATTTTTCTTTACAGAGGTGTGTTTACATATACATGATTTTGAATGGTAAATTTTGGTAAATTGACAATTAATTTGCCACGTGGATTTAAAAATATAAAAATTTTTACATATTTCATGAAAAATTATGGAAAATAATCTGTTTAAATGACATTTACATGAATATAAGACAGTTTCATATCAAAAATAAAGGATTCATCATTCCATTGCTGTGGCATCCATCAGAATACCTTTCATTCATCTAATGGATGCTACTAAAGTGAGGAGTGGTGATTCTAATCTACTTTTAACAATAGGCACGAGGCCGTATATTTACATTGGAGTAATAACTAGTTTAGAAACCATTTCCCTGTTGAGGTGTGGAAAAGGCGTTTGCTTCATCAAGATCTCTGAATACATCAAGTTTTTTTCCACTTGAAAACACCAAGAATTTTTTTTTCTAGAATGGCCGACTAATTGCATATTTATAACTGAAAATGTCGGCATATATTAATTTTCTTTTTTATTCTGCTATTTGTAATATAACTTGATCGCTTCGAAGTGGTGATTGGGCACATCTGGCATCAATTATCTGAAAGAAATCTTTATTTTTTCTTAAGTTTTTATGATTAATTTTATATGTATAAGTATTTTAATAATTTTGGACATGCAAGTCCAAAATTTGAAGATACTACTCTAAATCGATGGAATAATTAAAGAAATCGACTCTATTCTAAACCATGGCACTATTCTGTGTCATCTATTCTTTAATTTGGGCTGATTATGTTTGATCATTAGTAATTGTTGGACCTATCAAAAACCGTGGCTTAGACTAGAATAGAATCTTAGATCGAGATTTCTCTGCAATCTCTAACCTTTGAAGATCCTAGTGCCAAATTTTGGACTAGGATCTTCAGAGTTATGTGATATTACAGAAGAAGTTTCAGCTCTAGAAATTTCTGCTTTTATTTATCTATTCAACTCTTGAATCATTCATTTTAAATCTATTTCTCCTTGATATGTACTGTACTTTTTCTAAACCCCTTCCCCCTTAAACTGTAAAAGTAATTAATAGATGGCCCTTATTATATTGCATATATAGCCAGGTACAGTTAAAGACAAGCTCATCAGAGCCATTTTGTACAGGTTCCAAGCGGATAATCCTACAAAATTTAATCTTTCATATAAAAAAACACGATACGAAAATGTTACAAATAAAAATTTCTTTTGATATGTGGTGAAAATTTTATTTTGTTTGCATATTTTTATGTCTGGGAAAGAGGTATGAGGTTCCACATGTGTTGGTTCTCATGGTTCTCAGAATCTGGAGCTAGTAAACTTGAAAATCGGTGTTATCAATGAAGTGTTTTCAATTTCGTTCATATAAATCAATATTTTTCGATTATTTAATGTGATATTTTAATTGTTTATCATGTAAAGCGGGAGATAAACCAGATAAGTTTTTAAAAAATTAGGAAAAAGTTTCATAAAGTATGTAGAAAAATCCAAAAAATTAGCATTAAAATCCTACGAGTGATGAGATCGTAAAGCACAACATAAGAAAACAAGTCACTTTTACGTGGGAAGGAAGGAGCTGAAGTTCAGCAATTGTTGTGGTTCTCGTCCCCCGAGGTTTTAGAAAAGATCAAAACACCTTTTTGTCCCGTGTCATGCCCGAGGCTTTCTATGTGACCCCCTAGTTTTTCTTTTTAAGTGAAGATATGCGGTAGTTGCAGACTACAATTGATACAGGATAGGTAAGTTTTGACTAAATTTATGTAAATTTGTAAATTTAATTGCAGTAATTAAATAAGAACTACATAAATTACAATACTTTTCATATTATTTCTATAAAGAAGATATTCTATTCAAGTATTCACAATACAGGCCACAACAAACACAGGCCACAATGGAATTCCAGTCCGCCATTTTATTCTGTACATAAATAATTGAATAGTTTGCTTTTAAATTATAAATTATTTACAGCAATTCAAACACCATAAATGAATAGATTATCATATTAGATGGGGATGATTCATAAATAAGTTATGATTAACGTTTAATTGTGCAAAAGCAATACAAAAACTGTTCTTATGGCTTTAGACTTGGTAAAATAATATGTTTGGAACATGAGTTAATGTTTAAAATTATTTTCTGAAATATTTTAAAACATTTTATGAATTCTTTTATGATATTTCTCTTCTCAACTCCTGGAATTTCAAGTTTTAGACACTATTTATTAGGTTTATTACTTAAAATAGCTTCAATAAGTTGTAAATTTAAAGAAAATTATAAATTAAATTTAATATAAATATAGAATTATTTATTTTATTCACAATTATTAGCTTTTATTTCTATAAAATATATTGCTTTACCTATCTCTAGCTTCTAGGTATTACTAATTAATATTTCTAAGATTATATATTTTAATATATTTTAAATTATATTTGTTTATTCACAAGAGATTTTCTAGAATATGATGTAAGAATATAAACAATTCTAAATTCCAGGCTCACTTATGTGAAAACAAAGCTGCTGAGTTAATTTAGAAGAAATTTTGTATCATTTTATCAAAATATCAGTATATTTATGCTATTATTTTCTTAAGGAAACTTAAATTAAGTTTAGTTTCAGCTATTTCTAAGCTTAATTATACTCAAGATAAAATTTTTATGAAATTTTTAAGGATGAATAGGCCTCAAGTATTACTTTCCTGAGATTGAATATAAATTTTTTTCTGTATAATTTATAATAATAATAATAATAATAGTTTTATTATAATGCTAGTGTTGAAGATTTAGATACATGCAAAATATAATGCAATTGATAGAAATATCAAGTCTCAGGCTGGAACTGTGAATGAGATAAGAGCTTAGGTTTATCAATTGACAGATTTATGAGATTTACTGGCCTAAATCTGAGTGTATTGATACCTTGATCCCTTGATCTCTTGTTCAAGAATGTGGTAAAATGCCCATTCAAAGGGAGATAATACGAAAAGTGTTTTAAATGGTTCATTTAGCTCAAGAGATTAAGCTTGTTTTTATAGAATTCTATTGTAATTAAAATTTAAGTATTCTCCTTAATGATTTCATTCTGTTTAACATCTTAATGGAAGAGATTTAGTATCTTCTCCTTTATAGTTCAGTAGAATGAACGGTTTATAACTATGGTTTACAGAGAAAGATTTAACACCATTCAATTATACAGTGTAAAAAACTTTCCTTCTGTAAATCTTATTCTGAACTCTTTTCGCCCTGCTGGTACTTAAAAAGGGCTTTTCATACCTGTTAAAGTCAGGCACAATAAGGGCAGCCGGGCTTTAAGGATAGACATTATAGCCGAGTCAACTCACTGATAAAAATTTTTGAAATCGAGCCGTACTCGAACCCGAATCCCCTTTCTCGAATACATTATCTCCGACCGTTTATATAAATCGTTCGGTTGTATGCATCTGAATTTCAGTTCTTTCTAATAATGTAAAAGAGCCACATACTCGGATTTTTAATAGATTTTTAATTAATTAACGTGATGCACAAATATGGCCGAACAAAAAATCGTTACAGTAGGGTCGACCAGCATGAGATGGAATAAGATGTGAAATATGTGTTTACTGTAGGATATATCGTTTATTTAGCTTGTAGTATTTCCCACACAAAAATATCCATAAATTAAAATCTGTAACGGTATTGATACTTATGACATCGGCGACACGTCATCAAAATTAATATCGATTATATCATACTTGATATTTGTTGCAAGCAATTTAAGTGTATTTACTCCAAGTGTCAGTCATAAATAAGATTTTCTTATCAACAGTATAATCAGAAACATATTATGTTTCTGATTATACTGTTGATAAGAATATATAACATGATAATCTGTTCATTAAGTATCAAATTTTTTTCGTCTTTCCTCCGTATATTTGCATTAAAAATTATTTTTAAAATTAAATATGTGTTTTTTAAAAATATATGGGAAATAATAGAAGAGTTTTGATTTGAATCGGCAAAATTTATTTAAATTTGTTCATTTGGCAACGTCAAGTTGCCCGAGAGAAATATTTAGAGTTGCCAGATTTCCCGGATTTTTTTCCACTGCCATCTAGCGACATGACTTTATTCTAAAAATCATTCTTACAAATGAAACTTTTTTATTTTTCCACATTTTAAATGTATTTCTGTTACTGCAGAGTAAAAATACAGGGCGAACGGACACGTGAAGTTTTTCACCTAAATATGGGCCAATTTCCTGTAGAAAGTTCTCCCGAGGGGCATTGCCCTTGTGTCCCAAGTGCCTTCTCCCATCCATCCACCTCTCAAACCTGATTTTCCATGAAGTCACCTCTAAAAATTCCCTATTTATTCCCTATCCTAGACTAATGGATTGAGAATGCCGAGCAATGATGTCATGTTGACAGCTATATATACAGTGTTGCCACTTTATACTAGAAATGCAAGAAAAAAATCAAATCTGAAATTTATTTATTTATTTTTTTAAGACTAAAGAACTGCAATGGATGCGCCTTAAGACTAAATAAGTCCCCTTTTTTGTATGTGTAAATAATATAATAAACATTATTTCATAATTTGATTTCACGCAGTCAAAAATATTTTTAGAATATAAAATTCCCTAGATTTGGTTGTTTTAAACTATTTCTTCCTCTTTTTCCCCTTTATTCTTTAACATTCCCTAGTTTTGGGAATTTTTTACCGGGGCCTCCGAGTAGAACATTAAAATTAATTATATTAATATCAATTAATTAATAGTTCTGAAAGCGGAATCGGAATTGGCAACGTATACAACAGTAAGCAGAAGTTGCGGGTTCCCGTTCCGGAATATTCTGAATTAAAATTAAAACTTAATCTATATATAATTACTAAATTTACCATGAGGTGGCAGCTTAACCGTCTACTAATAGCCAAATTGATTTGATTTTTATTATTTACTAGCCTTAAAATAGCCCGACGGATAATCCGCCTAAAAGATTTTTCTAATATTTCACTCCATATATATAGTTAATATAAATTTTCCACACCGAGAATTATGGCATAATGCCCTTTTCTTCAAAAGCCAAAAAAATTAGGGATACATATTAAAATTTTCCAGTACAGTATTTTGATGTAAAAAACAAATTGATACTTGAAAGATACCGACTGACGTTAATGCCGGCAATCCATAGAATGGAAGTACGGCAGACAAGATACAAGTCGAGATATCGAGGATCAAATAAATTCTTACAAATGTAATTTCCAGATCACGGGGAAGATTTCGGGAGTCAACAGACGTGTTTTGTGAACTAACAGTACTTTACTTGCTGATCGGTTTCAGGATCTAACTAGTAGATATCATCGGGAGATAACAGCACTAGCTCTCTAGGCCCTGTTCGGTTCGTTCAGAAAGTGTATACCGTTACGTCAATTTGACGTATTCTCTTCAGTTTTACAATAAACAAGTTTAAAAAATGACGTCAAATTGACGTAACGGTGTACTTTCTGGACGAAACGAACAGACCTTAGGATTATCTGCGTGACACGTCAACTACAGCACTCCATATTAACACTCTCATTGAAAGAAAGAACTATAACTAGAAAATTCTATTAAAGAGGCCGCTATATGCCACGCTTTATAACTGTGATTGGATTGAAGATGTGGAAAGGATCGAAAATCTTTTATCATGCCCTAACGTCAGAGAAAGGGATCATTATAGTTTAATAACTTGAGAGGTTGTGTTTACTGTATGGGCTGATCTGTATCTCTTCGAAACTGCCCTCCTGACTTTCTTAAAAATACAAGAATTCCTTACATATCCTTCCAAAAATATATTTGATCCTAACTTTATTTTCATGAACACGGCACTTGAGATGGAAAATTTTCACAGGAAATGAAAATATTTAATAAATAGTGGGGCCAATCAACACTATCGAACACAACAAAACGTATATATAGAATGCTTCAAGAAGACACGCACTGGTTCATTTAAATTAACTGATCCAGCATCCAAAACTAGGAATCTCTTGAAGACCCTTCTGTCGTGTTGCTCACTTAATTAATTGTCAGCATGAATGTGTATATCCTTAAAAGCGATCATATATCTTATTGGCAATGGGGAACCTTCATTAATATCAGGATATTTTGGGGTTTGTGGCGCGCACACACCGAGTAGACTTTCCTCTTCTTCATTTTTCTTTTTTGGTTAATCTTCCATATTTAAAGCGTATACGGAAAAGAATTATATAATTCATTATAAAACATTTCTGCATACATGTCTATATCTGACGTAACAGAATTACGACCAATCTTTTATGACGCAATTTATTTTCTATCACTGACGTAACTTTTGACATCACTAGATTTTCTTTTTATGACGTCACATGCAGAGACCGTATATAACAGTATATTTGGTTCACGTTATCAGGGATGCCCGGAAGGGGAAGGGAGACAGTTGCCTCGAGTCCCGAGAAAGAAGGACCATGTACAATTTTTTCGTTTACTTCCTTTCATATAATAATTTAATTTGCTTTCAGGCCACAATATATATTTTGTCCGGGCCCCTGCATTTTATATGCCACGAAATTCTAATTAAAAATGAGAAAACTATTCTCCGTGCGTCAGTAATACAGGAGGGACCAAGTTCGAATTTGGCTCGTTGGATTACCCTAAATTCCCTAAAAACCCTAAAACGAAAAGCAAAATAATCACTTGAAATTTTCAAGTTTCAACCCTAGACATTTCATAACATTTCTATTCCAAGTATCTACAATCATTAGATGATAACAAGCATCTATTCTTCTGTATGTTAATTTTTGGGTAAACTTACGTACAGACACACAAACGGACACTTTAAAAAGCTAAGCGGTTTATTGCCATCCTGAAATTTCGTTCCAAACATTTAAAAAAAATGTAATAAACGGAAATGATAAATGAAATGTTTTTCCTACTTTCCTCCAGACGTAGGAAAAAATTTACTCCTGTCTTTATTTATTTATTTTCCCTCATAAAATTAGAAAAAAAAAAAATTCGAACGGTTTAAGCACATCATCTTAGAAATTTACACTATTGCACCCTTATTATTTACATTATCTTATTCATTATTTACATTATTTGTCACTACAAATCGATTAATACATTCTTTCCCCCCACAAAACGATTAACACAAGGGCATAGGAGAATAACACATGAAAATTCCGACCCCCCTTTTACAAAGGACCAATTTCTTAAAACAAAGAAATGAATGTGAAAACGAACACAACACGCGCATTGCCCCACTCTTCCTTCCTTCCCTTGTTTTTCTGATTTTGGAATGACTTGCCTTCCGTCCGCATGACACATCACACTAGCTAGTGTTGCAGAGACTCTCCGTAACTGCAAGTAACACAGCAAAAAATAGTCAGTATCATGATATTGTTTGTCGTTTTCTCTTGTTTTTAAGGAATTTGTCAGTTTCATTTGTTATATATTTATATCATTTTCTAGAGGATATCAATGTCAATTTCTTAATTGTTTTGTAATTGTTATAATTCTTAATAATCTGGGAGGGGGATAATCAATGTAACGTGGTGATACCGCATTGTACTTTGCGGGGGAGGAATGTCACGTGCCATTCTAGATTTTATGCAAATTTGGGAATTCCCCACGCTTTTTTTTTTTGGAATGAAGATTTGACCAGGGAATTGTGCAAATATATTTATATTATAGCTTATAAAATTGTAGATTTAGATGAGTTTTAGTTAATTAACATCAATTTTGAAGATGATTATTGTTATTGATGATAAAATGAAGTGTTTTGTTAGAAATAATATAAAATTTTTGCTTTTATTTTGCTATATTTTAAGCAAAAAAAAACCACATCTAACACATCAGTTTTTAATATTTAAAAGTGATCCTATAGAGAAAGTAGAGTTTTAATTTGATATTTTACATATTCAGTGCATACATTTTCTAGTTTTGAATGTAAAATGGTTTAAATGTTACATATTTTCAAGTATTTATCTTACTGTTTCGCTATTTTGTATAGTAATTTAATATAAATATATAAAGCAAAAGTAGAAGTTTTAATGTCTTTCATAGTGGAAAAATATAATATATAATTATGTTTACAGGTTTATTGAATGTGAATGATTACATAGCAATCATGTCTGATACACTAACCGAAACAACACAGTGGGGATATTTGAAAACAGATATTTGGGGATACGTCGGTATCGACACACTGCAAGAGCAGATACGCAAGAAAGCTTTAAAACAAGGATTCGAATTCAATCTTCTGGTCGTTGGTTGGTTCAGATTAAATTGTAAAAATAGAATTTGAAGAATTTGCTTGTTTTTTTCCATTTTAATGAGAAATGAATTTTTCAGGAAGGAGCGGTTTGGGAAAGTCAACGCTCTTAAATACTCTCTTCAAATCCTACGTTAGTCGCAAAAGTTGCACAAAGGACGAGAACAATCAAGAATGTAAAATACAGCAAACGACAGAAATTAAATCGATTACTCATTGTAAGTTTTTTTTTTATTTGTAACTGTATAATTTGTATAGAAAGTAAAGTAATAATTAAATTATTAATGATTTATATAATATATTAAATTTTATAAAAACTAAAATTATAGAGGATATAGACTGAAATTATACATGTATAATTCCTCTCCTACAGTATATCCTATGGTTCTCTTTTGGAAGAGATAAAGATTTAGAGGATAATGTTTTTCTCCTACTCTGAGTAGGAAATAAACATTATCCTCTATATCTAATAAAGCAACTGCAAAGTATGTATGCACGAGATTGTATTCTGAGTTGGGTGTTTTCAGAGTAAATGGGCCACTTGCCTTCCCCAGAATCGAGTAATATATTCCACAAATTATAATTGCAGAAGTGACTAAGATATGTAACCTTACACCCTTGATCGTGAGGTATCTTTCTTTCTTATCTGTTTGTGAAAAAAACGAAAAATTAAATAAAAATTTATTGATATAATTATTTGTCTCCAAGCTTTTTTCCCCTGGAAATTTTTCTGTACATGTTCCGAGCCTTTCAATTAAGAAATAACTTATGACAAATACAGTAGATAATAGATTGGTGTGATGTAGCTTTTGTGAAATTTAGACTTAACATGTGACAGTTCTCTTTTCATCTATCTTACAAAGATCAGACCTAAAATCAGCCATTGCAGATGATATCCAGAAGAATATGGAGAAAAAATTCATAAAGAGAATGGAAGGGGACACAAGAAAGAATAACTTTTAACTAGCATGCATAGAAACTTTACAGGCACTCTTTTATATATAAATATGTATACTCTATAATGAAATATTATTATTAATGGTAAATTAAATAGCAGATTTTTTAAATTGAAATATTATATCATTTAATTCGTAACTCAAATTTATAACTAAAACAATCCATATCATTTTTAGTATTAGAAGAAAAAGGCGTTAGATTACGTCTAACATTAACAGACACCCCAGGATTTGGAGATCAAATCAATAATGAAAATTGGTAATTTTAAATTTATTTAAATTATAATTAGCATATTATTCCAAAATTTTGACTTTATAATGTTTGAACAGTTGGCTACCAATTCAAGAATATATTAATGAACAATATGAAAAATATTTAATAGAAGAGCAATGTATAACCCGAAAAAGAAATATAACCGATTCAAGAGTTCATTGTTGTCTCTATTTTATTCCTCCATCAGGACATAGGTAAGTTTTCTTTTTAATATCTGAAAATTGAATTATAAAATGTAACTCACAAAACCTGGGCTATTGGTCTGTAAATATGTCTTTAAAACAATTTTGTAAACAAGTATGATGATTGAAAAAACTTGTAGATTGTAACATAGTCTAACATAAGAATGAAAAAATTAATTAGACTATGGAAACATTGTTTGTATGAACAGTGAACATATTCATTGTGTGTATACACACATCTGAGATATATAAACTTGGTACTTTTGTTATACATTGCTTTTTATGAGTACAGATATCTCTTGTACCACTTGGCATTCCTACAATACGGTTTTGTTCTAATGTAGTTTGAGAATTGGAGACATCCCTGTACAAAACATCATAATTTTTAAGGGCAAACACCATTAAATATTTTTTATTTGAGCAAGCTTAAATGTTGACTCACATTTGCTCTTAGATTTTAGAATATTGACATTTTTAATGTTGTTTGGCACCTTTTGTCAAGTTTTTTCTAATGAGAACTGATTATATAATTTTTTCTTCTTCCTTGTCTTAGCTTTCCCATAAACCAGGTGTTACTGTCATTGGTGATAGTGCTCTAAATGAATCCTAAAAACTTTTGCTATGTTTTGTTTTTATAGATTAAAAGTTACTACATAAAAAGATTAAATTTTTAAAGATGTCTTAGGCAAATGCAGATCTCCTTAGTATACTGCATTATTTGTTACTCTATATACTTGGGGCTGTTTTTTCAACCTTAGTGTGCTGTATGCAATACCAGCAAATGGCATAAAAAGTATTGATTGCCAGCTTACAGTTTTGGAAACTGTTCAGTAGGAAGAATTCTATGTTTAGTTGATGAGTCTGATGACTGGCATGATAAAATAAAAATGAAACAACAGTCATGCTATTGGCCTTGACAAATGCTGAGGAACAGCTGGAGTTGACATAAAAAGCAAGCATGGTGGGCCTTCAGTTTTCTTACTTCATCTTTTGGATGTATGGACAATACTACCTGGTAATTGTCTGTCCCTGCTGTGTTCTTGTCAAGAAATAAAGTTAGGATAGTGCTAATGATTATATTTTGAAATGGAAAGGTAAAAATATGATTATTGAAAGGCACCATTTGTATACTAAATCCAAAATGAGAAATACAGAAATGAGAAGAAAGTATAGATTGAGATACATAAGAAATTTGGCAAATAAACCCTGCCCTTTTAAAAATTCCAGTCACAAGTCTGAATGAAGTAGTATTGCATAAGTATGAATATTTGCACTTGTATAATAAAATGTTTATTGATCCTTATTTTTTCACTTGCCTCTTGGATTTAAATTTATTACATCGAGGATAAGAATTTATGGAAAAAACAAGCATTCCTTTTTTCCTTTAAATTTCTTCCTATTGTATTCTTTCTATTCATCAGTCTATATTTTTTTTTTTTCCTGTTTCCTGATTATAATATCAAGCTATTCTGTGTAATCATAAATCATTAAATAATTATTGTTGTTCTCTTTATATAGAACATATTAACAGAATATTTTGTTATAATTCTCTATTCAAAGAATTAGATAACGATTTTTCTCTGCATTTTCAATTAATTATCTATATTAATTTATAATATATTTTGTTCAAAACATGATTAAATGTCATCATCTGTGTAAATCTAGTAACAGTTATCATATACATCATTTCTGAGATGTTAATATGCATTTTATTTGCTTAAAATTTAACACAGAGTGACTTTTGAGTAGTTATATTTCTTAAATTAATTGGTATGGAAGCAAAAATTGGATAGAGATCCAGGTAGCGTAACTGATAATGTAGCTGTATGATAAGAAATTTTGGATTTGATCCCTTCTCTAGATTAATTTTTTCTTCCAGAATATTTTATATTTATTAAATTTAATTTAAAATTAATGTAACTTAAAATTAGTGCAAGAAGCAGACCAGCCTACTTTGGTTCCAGCTTAGTTTGTTAATTAATTATTGTAAATAGTGTTATAGCTCAAAAGTTAATCCATCTGTTAGTAATTTTGATAATTTACCAGAAAAGGAAACAAGTTGAGAATGAAATCAATTATTTCCCAAAGAAAAATAACACCAGAAACTTTTAATTTGTCTGGCAAATTTTCTCTAATTAACAACAAATGTTTTTGGCTGCTTTTATTAGCCACCAGCATGTTTAATGAACATCACCCAATTGGAACTCCTTTAAGAACTTTGCATGAAATAGTTCACTCTATTGCTTAAATATATCATTTGATTTAGTATTAGAATACTTAAAGAACGATTCATTTGACCGGTGGAATGAGTCATCCCAAGTGAAATTCTTCTTGGATGTTCATTAAACCTGACGATAGCTGATGAAGACCAGCCGAAACATTTGTTGTTAATTAGAGAAGTTAATTTGTTGGAGAAATTAAAGGTTTATGGTGTTAGTACTGAAACTCCTATTATGTGCTTATTATTATTAGGTAAATATAAAAGATCTCTGCAAAGTGGACTGTTCTGTAATACAAAATACACAACAAAAAACCTAAGTCCTTCCAGTAACAACATTTTAATGAAATACAAACGTTTTTGACTATTTCCTGACATCTGCATCAGGTTTAATATCAAATGGAACATCTGCAGAATTCAAATTTTAATTGATAAATTTGAAAAGGTTACTATTGAACTAATCAAGAGTGAGAAGTGTGAATGGGCAGGAATATAGGATATTAAGATTGGATTGAAGTGTGCCTGCTACATGCAAAAAATTTGTTTTTGTCTTAATGGTTAATTTAGTTGCCTCTCTAATATGGTCATTATTTCAGATATATTAACGTCTCCTGGTCAAGTTTAGCCTCAATGTTGTTGAAGGTGTATGTGGACAAAGCAATGTATGGTTTCATTATAGCATTGTTTACGTAGGAAAGCTTCTTTCTGACTTTGGGATACTTTATGTAGACTTCCCTGTTTTTATGTATTTTTATCATTTATTTACTTTTATTTTGTGTAAGTTTATTCTTTTTAGTCTAATTTTTTGATTTAAACTATCTGGCATCCATATTCCAAAATACAGTAGAGCGTCGATTTTCCGAATCAATTGGGGACTGGGGTTGTTCGTATAACTGATATTTTGGATAACCGATTTATGTACGAAAAAATAGTTTAACGTATCCGATGTTGAAATTTTTCTCCGTTGCATGTCGCTTCGCGTCGAATTTTCGTCGATGTTAAGCCTAACAAAGACTATTGTAATTTTTTTTTTTCTTTTGTATGATGCTTACAAACAAACTGTCAACTAGTCAATAAGTTTTGACAATTATTTTTGTAAAATAAAGTATGTTGTGATGATAGACATCAAAGCCAAACAATTGCCATAATGAATCAGGAGATTTTTTCAGTTACTATTAATAATTAAATTCTAAGTAATTTAGTACTAGAGGTGGATGGTTATATCTAAAAGTAAATATGTCTGGAAGTGAAGAATCACACAGAGATCCAGGTATCATAACTGGCAATGCATTCACATGGCAAGCAAGAGTTGTGGGTTAGAGGCCCACTTAAGGCCAATTCTTTTCTTTCAGAATATTCTAAATTATTTAATTGAATAAGAGATGATGCTTAATGTGTATTTCTAGTACCAAATTATTTTAATTATCAAATTAATGAATCAGACTGTTTTTCAGATACTATTTAACTGAAAAACAGTCTGATTCATTATGACAGTTTCGCTTTGATTAATAACACCATGCTTTGAGACGTTTCTATATGATCATAGACATATTTAATTAATATCATTACTTATTTATTTTTGTATTTATAATTACTGTATAATGTAACCATGGGTTACTTTTAAATAACCATAAAATCCTAAACTTTGCAATAAAATCAGTTACATATATTTTATTTCTGTAGCTTAACTCCTCTGGATATTGAATTTATGAAGAGACTAGATAAAATTGTTAATATAGTTCCTGTTATTGCTAAAGCAGATACTCTGACTATTGAAGAAAGATTAGCATATAAACATATGGTAAGTCTTGCTTTACTTTCCTAAGAAAATTTTTTTAAGAATGCAAAATAATTTAAATTTTACTCATATTTGCAGATTAGGAGAACGCTAGAAGAGAACGATATAGCATTTTATCCAATGAAATACTTAGAGGAAGATCCAGATGAAATAGTTACTAATAATAAAATAAGAGTAAGTTACTTAGTTATTATTGAAATGAATTGTTCTCATGTAAATTATTTTAAAAAAACCTTAAAATTTTTATAGGATATGATACCTTTCGCCGTGGTCGGTAGCGATAAACAATACGAGGTCAACGGTAAAATGGTCTATGGTCGGAAAACTCAATGGGGAGTCGTAGAAGTAGAAAACCGACATCACTGTGAATTTTCAGATATGAGAGACATGTTAATAAGGTAAGACTAATTGTTAAAGCAAAATCAAATTCTTTTACAAACAAAATTTTTAAAATAGATAAAATAAATCCAGTTAATGTTTTTAAATATGGGTAATTAGGAGAACAGAATAAATACAATAATCGTGTCTTGTTTACCAGCATGTACAGTACATTATTAAATTTATTGGTACGAAGATTTACATCAGACAAATTCACTTGGCCATTTTTTCATGAGAATTTGTCAAGTGTTCAGTTAAACTTTACAAATAATCCAAATTATAAGATTGTATTACATTTATTGTAATTCTAAGTAAACCTTTTTTATAATAATAAATGCAATATATATGGCAATTGTAATTAAATATGTGCATTCTGTAAATGATGCACATACTTATACAATGGTCTATATAAATTAATTCCTCTTAGAAGTTGCAGCTGTTGAAATGTTGAAATATGATTTTTTTGCTTGTTTTAGAACAGTGATGGACAACCTGCAGCCCACATTCATATTTTTTGCAGCCCAAGTCACACAGAATATTAATAAATACATCAAATTCCCAACTTAGAATGTTTGCTGCATACTTTTTTATCATCATTTTCTACAACCTAGTAAAAATTTAGTAAAAAGTAAAACAAGAAATCAGCTAACAAACACATCAAAACTAATTTAAAACTGGCAGTGACTAATATTTGGATATATTACGTTCACGTCAGTGACCAAAGTCAAATTAAGTATACTTATGTTAATTTATAATCGTATATGAATAAATAATTGTGATTTACTCACAATTCTTTATTTCTCTTGCATGCAGCCCACAGTTCAAAAGCTTTGAATGTGGCCCTTATGTAGAAAAAGGTTGCCCGTCTGTTTTAGAAGATTGTTTAATTTATATTTTTTTTAATTATAAATCTTGCATTCATTATGTGATAAAAATTATCTATAATTTCAAATAATTTAATTGCTCAGATTGAATGAATTTTTTGACAGTTATAATTTTTGGATTTGTTTTTCATAATTCTTTTTCTTGATATGGTACAATTCACTTGTTTATCCATTTTGTGTAATAAATTAATAAGGTAAAAATATCTACATTTTTACATTAATTAATGTGACAATTTTTTGTTCTTTGTACATCATTTAAGATCTTAATTTTTGTTTAATTTTGTTTCTTGTTTTGTCATTTGAAAATGCACAGAAATCACAAAAATTATGTATAAGTCATGTAATGCAAACTGGACTTTAGTATAAAAGAAGCATTTTCATAGTTTTTCTTTATATTATTGATCAAACAAGTATTAAAAATTAGTTTCAGCAGAAAATATTGTTAGCAAGATTGAGATATTAACACATTCACGGTGTCAGTAGATAAACGTTTAGACAGCTGCTGGGCGTTACGAGTCACCCATGACTCGTAGTCTATTTAATACAGGGCAGCACGAGTCACCCATGCCTCGTACTATTAAATTAATATATTTTATTGCACGTAATAAAATAATATTGATATATCAAGTATGATGTTTGAAGAATTAAGTTAGCAAAACACATGTATCGCCCCACAGAAAAACAAGCAATTATGTCTGTAGCCCTAACTAGACATGTCCATATGAGTCACATGTGCCTTGTAACGCCACGAATGTGTTAAATATAACAACTTTATACAAACAATTATTAATTTTTACTGGTTTTTATTTACAAGACTTAAAAAAAAAGCAGTTAAACTAATATTGCATAGAATTTTTTAATGGATGTTAATGTGTCCTAATTCATTTTATTACACTAGATGTGTATTTTAAAAAAATGCTTTAAATATTATTTTCTATATTTTATTATATTGTTTTGTTGTAAATTCTTTTTGTTTTAAACTAATGCAGTAAATAGTACAAATTACACAGAATAATGAATTAGCAGACATAGTTATAAGCATAAGAGAGTATGATTGCTGAGGCAATAAAGGCATTTTTCCAATGTTCTGAAGAATTTGGATTCCAGTCTAGGTTAGATCCTCAGAAATTTCTGAGTGGTTTGATTCCAATATATTTGGGTTTTGCTCTCACCATACAGTTGTTCCATTATGAGTCTAGCCCAACTAATGGTGAACATAGAAAAAAGTAACCACAGGACTGAGTTAAAAACAAACATATCATTAGATAAATATTTACAGCAAAAACTTACTAAAATTTTGTGTTCTTGATTAGTATGTCTGGCATGTTTATGAATTTACATATGCTATGAATGTTTTATTCCATACAGTTTGTAAATATCAGTAAGGTTCCATTTGTATTCAGTAATCATCACCAAACAATCTGCCGGATTTTCTATCTGCTGGACTATTTTAAGACTAGTAAATAATTGAATACAAATTGATTTGGTCACCATCAGATGCTGGCATAACCTAACTCTAGCCAAATTGATTTGTATTTAATTATTTACTACTATTAAAATAGTCCAATGGCTAATCTAGCAGATCATTTGGCAATGCAAATAAATCAGGTTGTTTATTGCATACTTAGTAATTAATTTATCTTGATATAGTTAAATGCTATTGTGATTGTGCATAACATAAAGAATGACAATTTGATGAAATGCAGTGAATTGTCTCACTGTTATGCTTTTAAAGATTGAAATTAATCTAAGTTCACAGAATACACATTTCTTTATGTTGTTAGTTTGGTTATTGATTAATTGCAATTGCTAATTATTCTGTATCAGAGATTACTACAAATTATGTTTGCTTGTCTTTGCCAATAACTTAATACTGTAATCTGCATTTGATATTACTTTTTCAGTTTATTAATTTTATGTATTTTTTTTTCAATAACCTACCATGTTTCTTCAATTCTAAGACACTGATTTCAAAATAGTTTTTCACAAAAAAAAAATTAATAAAAACTTAATGCAAATCCCACAAATTAGATATTTTAAGTTTTTGTGTTAATATTGCACTGTAATGTTGCCTTGAAGACATTTTAAACATTAAAGAAGAGTTTTAATTAGACACTCATTATCAGCAAAACTCATTTGAACTGATGTAACCATTGAACAGTATAATTAAAAACATCTCTTATTGGTATATATATGTTACCACTAAAGCTCGAAAGCTATTAATGTGTACATTACCTAGCTAATTTACCTAGCAAATTATCTAGGTAATTTGAGAAATGGAACAATTTTCGCAACTTTAACGGATCACCTTAGTTAATCATCAAATTAGCTAGGATTACCTAGCTAATTTGATGATTAAATGAGACAGGGATGACTCGTACACATTAACAGCTTTCGAGCTTTAGCGGTAACATATATATTACACAGTAGAATCCCAATTATCCAAGGTAAATGGACAAATGTTACCTTGGATAAAAAGCCATTGCAGATTTAAAATTCTGAATAAAAAGATTTGTATGGTATCATTCATTTTTTAAAGACCCAGAATATCCAATGCATCAGATAAATCTGCCAAATCGCAATGTTTTAAGAATATTGACTCTTACTTATAGAATATGGTTCAAATAAAAATGTTTGAATAACAACAAAATTTTTGAAGAATGGTTAAATGCCCTCTTTTATAAATTAGAGAATGTTTTATACTGCTAAAGTTAGGTTCAGATTGGCATACAAACTGCCAGTTTGTTAGGAGTTGAAGGTATCTCAACTTATAGCAACAAGATATCACCGTCCATACTTTTTCAATAGGTTTTATTACAATACAAACGTTTTTAGCTCACTTTAAGGTCTGACTAAGGTTTAAAACTATATTGAGCAGTTAATTGAGTATTGATATAATTTAAAACCTAAGGCAGGTCCCTAAAATGAGCTAAAAACGTTTGTATTGTAATAAAATCTAATGAAAAAGTAAAGAAAATGGTCTTGTTTGCTATTAGACGGTTCTAGCTTTTGAGAAGTCATATACAGTAGACCCCCCCTATAAAACAGGTTCATATAATATGGATTTGTATATAACGGCGAAAAATTGCAATCGTATTCATATAAACATGCTAAAAGAGACTCTTATGGTAAGGTAAAATGTCATCACCGACTCGTGTCGCAACAGGATTGGTCAAATCTAGACCAATAGCAGATATTGCACAAACCGTTGAGTTTAAATGAGCAGCGGACCTACTAAAAACCATTTATTATTTAACAGCCATAAAAATTATATTTATATTAATGATGTCTCCAAAGTTCAGCAAATTTTTCACAAAAAAATAACTTCAGGAAACACGTGTCTGCCGTTCAATGCGCTGCTCCGCAACGAAAACAAGCTTAAGCAATGGTGTAGTCGAACGGTGCACACTCGGTAAATAATCCTACAATTTTTTGTTTATAGCATAGTTTATATGGATTANGTATCAAAAACATAAAATATTTGAGTAGCCCAAGACATAGCCAAAGATTGAAGCGCCACAGCACTGGCGAAAATTTAAATTTGCCGACTGGAATTCTTTCGGATGATTGACTTTCGGAAAATTTACGCTCTACTGTATTTTCTATTATTGAATGTAAACAATCCATTTAATACTTCATTTCATTTTGTATTTTACCTGAAGACAGTCCTTAAATGTATGTTACAGCTATTTTTGCAAAAATAGTCTGTAAATATTTTTCCAATTAACTGTAATTTTTGTCATATTTTATACTTCTCAACTGAAATCTGATAAGGCATATTGTATCTTACTGGTGAAAAATATATAATAAGGCCACACTATTTTTATCAACACTTACCGTAATACTTTTCAATATGTGGTGTATTTATTATATAATAAATACAAACAGAAATGTGAGCAACACGATCCATGTAGGCACTGAGCAATTGTAAAAATCAATAACTTGTCAAATGAATTTCTTACCAAGATATCGGGTCTACTAGTAAAGTAATAGTCAAAATCAACATCAATAAAATCTAATAAATAAAAGAGAAATTTTGTAAGTTCGTTTATGTGGATTAAAGTGGCATTGAATTTCATCTTTTCTCTCAACTTGTATTGACATTTGTATTGGTACTATTAACAGTATATAACTAA